CTGTCGCTGCGGCTTGAGTGGCATTGGCGTCATGATGGTGTGGTCGCCACTTGTCGCCGCAAATTCCACGTACCGACGGGCTTCACGAGGCTCCCGTGGGCTCGGCGCGACCCTGTTTCTTTCCATGCCGGGCATCGAGTGGGCGGCGCCATCACTGGCTGCGCCTGAGCGCTGTCCCACGCTGTCGTTCTGTGTCGGTGTGCCTGATGAAATGACGATCGGCTCCTCCGATTGTGCAGGTGCATTTGCAGGTGCGTATGGTGGCGCCGGAGTATTCATCGTGGATTGCTGACGCGCGGGTGCTGTTCGCCAGCAAATCGTTTCTCGAACAGAAAACGATGGCATAGGCATCGCGACCGCATCTGGAAACGGGGGCGGAACCCTCTTCTGAGGTTTGGGCGTAATGTCGCTCTAGAAACTTCGCGCGTCCGAAAGGCGAAATTACGCAACCGCATCGGGAAGGTCCATCCCCACCTTCCCCCCAATAGCGCGAAAGTTCAGCCTCAGTGACCCTTGTGTTGCCCGCTGACCAAAAATTGCTCAATGTGGGTAAAAACGCAAATAAAACCCACCCCGCTCAAACACAACCCCCGCCATGGAAGGCCTGTCTCTACGGCCAAGTCATGCGCGGGGGGCACATCGAAGGTGTGTTCGGGAGGGGAAAAATGGAGGGTATTCGAACCCCCCTTTGTCAAACAAATGGCTTGTTCAAAGGTTCCCCTCTGAACGGCAATGCCACGGCTGTGCCATCGCTGTGCTTCGAAAAACGCGGCATGGCGATGGCATGGCTTGGGGATAGAACTTTGCCTGAGGACGAAGTTGCGTCCCCGCTTCCATATGCCATCGAGCAGTTCGTTTTGGTGGACAAATGGGGGCGTTCGCCAGACACCCACTTTGATTGTAGGTTTGGACGGTTGGGGAGGCTCGGCACCTTTTTTACGGGCTGACCAGGCTGACGGAGGTAAACGAACCCTAACTGACGGGATCAGGAAGGCGAGACCCACCTTCCTGATCCCGTCGTTATCCCATGGTTTTTTGCTTCATTGGTGCTGGCGAACAGCCCCGCGGAGTCACGTTCCGCCGTGAGCGTCGCAATTTCGAGCGCCGATTCTTCGACTTGGCGCACGAGATGGTCGAGTTGCTCCTGCGTCAGTGTCGCGAGAGTAAATTCGGCCATGGCGGGGGTGTCGGGCAAGCTCAGCGAGAGCCTCTGTCGTGGCCGTGCGTGCTTACGAGAGAGCACTAGGAGCGGCGGTGCTGTGTCGCTGAGAGACGTCTACCCCCCTCAAAAATTGAGATAGTGGGGAAGCGAAGGTGTGGGTGCGGTCCGAGAAGAGATCGTAGGCTCTGAATACCAAGTGTTACGAGTGCAATTGAGTGAGCGAGCGAGAATGGCACTATCGAAGCAAGAGTACAAATGAGCGAAGGCATGAGCGAAAAAAATATAGCGAAACTACAGTGGTAACGGTAATGCGTGAAAATGAGGTGCGCGACGGGCCTGGCGCCGAGGTTGGGAAATGCCGAGGCGTAGGTCCGGAGCGCGGGTTACCAACCGGACCGTGAGGTTGGGTCGCGTCGTGAACAGTGGCGGGAATAATGTCGAGACGAATGTCGCGAGTGGTAACGGTTGGGTGCTGTTGGCGGGAACAGTAATGTACGCGCTGAGCAGGGACGTGAAGTAAGGAAAAGGAATTTTCCTTACAGGTTGCAAGAAGGAAAAGCCATTCTTTCTCCCACTAAAAAATGTGGTTGCACTATCATTTGCTAATCTTTCACTACCAGGGGCATCTCTGACGACGACACTCATGACGAACATGGCGGTGTTCGCCAGCAAATGCAAATTTGAAAAAATAAAGACGGCATCGGAATGGCCACGGCATCCGGAAGCAGGGCCGGAACCCTCCGAAGAGGTTTGGGCGAAATGCCACTCGCAAAATTTCCCTCCCCGAAATGGGAAACGTGACAACTGCATATGGAACCTGCCTCCCCACCTTCCCCACAAATGGCCCAAACAGCCAATGGTGGTGTTCGCCAGCACATTTCTAAGCAAAATCGAGGGGATGACGACGGGATCAGGAAGGTAAGTCTCGCCTTCCTCAGTTAGGGTTCGTTAACCTCCGTCAGCCTGGTCAGCCCGTAAAAATGCTGCCGAGCCTCTTATGCCGTCCGAACCTCTTAGAAAATTGAGGGCGTGGCGAACGCCCCCAATTTTCACCCATTTCGAAATGCTTGACCGCATATGGAAACGGGGTCGCAGTTTCCTCCCCTGGCAAAAACCATCCCCTGGCGATGCCATCGCCATTCACCTATCCACGGTGAATGGCGATGGCATGGCTGTGGCATTGCACGGCAGAGGGGAACTGCGGAAGGTGGGGCTGGGGGTTCCATATGCGGTTGCGAATTTTCCCGTTTTGGGAGTCGACGTTTCGCAGACCACATTACGCCCAGACCTCCTGGGCGGGTTCCGCCCCCGTTTCCAGATGCGGTCACCATGCCGATGCCGTCAAAATGCCATCTATTTTCGAATGTGCTGGCGAACACCGCCAATGACGTCGCCATCCCACTGCAATCCTCCGTGGCATGGGTGCTGTTCGCCAGCACAATTATATAAAAAAACCACGGGATAACGACGGGATCAGGAAGGTGGGTCTCGCCTTCCTGATCACGTCAGTTAGAGTTCGTTAACCTCCGTCAGCTTGGTCAGCCCGTGAAAAAAGTGCCGAGCCTCACCTACCGTCCAAACCAACAAACAAAGTGGGCGTCTGGCGAACGCCCACTTTTCTCTACCAAATCTAACAGTTCGACGGCATCTGGAAGCGGGGACGAAACTTCGTCCCCAGGCAAAATGCCATCCCCTAGCCATGCCATCGTCATGCCGCGTTTTTCAAAGCACAGCGGTGGCACAGCCGACGCATTGCTGTTCAGCGGGTAACCCTTGAACAAGCCTGCAGTTTAACAAAGGGGGGTTCGTATATCCCCCATTTTTCCCTCCCAAACACACCGTGGCGGGAGTTGTGTTTGAGCTGGGTGTGTTTTATTTGCGTTTTTTACCCACGTTGAGCAATTTTTGGTCAGCGGGCAGCACAAGGGTCAGGGATGAGCAAATTTCGCGCCATTGGGGGGAAGGTGGGGATGGACCTTCCCGATGCGGTTGAGAAATTTCGCCTTTCGGGCGCGCGTAGTTTCTCGGGCGGCATTTCGCCCAAACCTCGGAGGAGGGTTCTGCCCCCGTTTCCATATGCGGTCGCGATGCTGATGCCATCGTTTTCTGTTGAAGAAACGATTTGCTGGCGAAGAGCACCATGGTGGATTGCCATGGGATGGCATGGGACTCTTGTTTGCCAGGGGAAGAAATTACTTGGCCATTTCCGAATGGCATGATGCCATCCGAAATTTGTGAAAAGTGAGGGCGTTCGTCAGGCACCAACGACTCCATTTGGTTCGAACGGCATCAGAGGCTCGGCAGCATTTTTACGGGCTGACCAGCCTGACGGAGCTTAACGAACCCTAACTGACGGGATCAGGAAGGCGAGAATGACCTTCCTGATCCCCTCGTCGTCCCGTCGTTTTTGCTTTCAAAGGTGCTGGCGAACACCGCCATATAGGACTGCTAGGACACAGAATTTTTCTTACAAAACACTAACTTTCAGCTGGTCCCAGAAGCCTTGCCACTCCGGGTCGGCTTCCAGACACAGGCTTAGAAAACTCGCCGTAACTACGTTCGCATGACACGTGTGTTGAGGAAGAATCTGAAGTGGCTCGAGCATCAGCCACTATACCGAGAAACCTGAGCCGCTTTCCCGGCCTGATTCGCGAATCCTGGTTCGCGAATTGTTCGGTATAACGTTTCCGTGCTGGCGTGCGAATGAGCAGTTCGCGTCAAACGATCAACTCCTAGTACTCAAAGTAAAATGCAGCAGCAGCCAGAGATTTTAACATATCTTATCGAGTCAGAGCTTTCACATATACCTCCAACACCGATAGCAACAGAGATTTCGCCAATGTCAAAAGCGCGTATGGTTATCCTGCATTGGAACTGATTGCATTAACGGCAAGAGATTTCCCCCTCTCGATAAGAAGCAGCTCCTTTGCGGAAATGGGAAGCGCATTTGGTGGTAAATTAACGCCTGCGCGAATGCTATCCTTGGAACAGAGACCAGTATCACGGCCCCGGCTTTCACGGAAGCTCATTTCCCCCGATTTCCGCTGCTTTCTGAAACCTTCTTTCTCGCCTCGACGTTCCTTTCACCGTCATTCGCTTTCAGCTTCTGTTATACCACCGCAACGGCAATACCAATCTCGAGTAGGGTCGGGAGCAGCCAGGACTGCCCACTGCAGCTCGCATTCGCCATTCGCGGTACAAGCAGCCTCGTTTTCGGATCAGGCTGGACCATCCAACTCTGATGACGGCTCCGCTGTGCGCTTGACGAAGCTCGCTGATGGGCTGGCTGGTTTGGGGCATAATCCGTTGGGGATTCGCCTAGAGATTGCTGACGTGGATGCGTCGTCAGCAGCAGGATCTACAGTGCATAGGGTCGGAGCAGTGGCAGGACCCGATGGGGTGAAGCAAGGGGATGTGACAGTAGCGGTGCCACATGCTGCAATCATGAACGTCCAGGTAAATCAATAGGCATGTGGTTACATTAACAGGTGACGTGAATATAACGAGAGGTGGTGGATATATGCACGCACACCCGGCGCTATTCCCTGTAATCGCCTGAGTCACTGCATTATCTGAACCTTGTGCTCTAAGCCCTGAACCCAACTCCCATAACCCTTAAACCCTGAACCCTCGGCCCCTCGTCCTCCCCCTCTCCCCAATCCCCAGAACTCAAAACCCACGTTTCCCACCTCAAATCCACACCACCCTCCCCCACCATTTCCAGAGAACCCTCAGACAGCAAGGGAGTGCCCTGCAATGGAGATTCCCAACTCCACAGCACCTCAAATAACCTTCCATCACCCCTTCCCACCCCTTTCCTACGCCACAAACCCCTCAGACAGCAATGGAGTGCCCTGTAATTGGTCCGCTGAGTCGTGCCGCTCAGCTGACAGGCTGGCAGACGCTGCTGCTGCACCTGCTGTGGGAGCGCGCCAAGGGGCAGGGAAGCTTCTGGGAAGATTACATAGCCATGCTGCCATATGAACAGGAGATGTCCCGTACACATCCCCTCATGCTCCCTGATGTGAGTGTAACGGGGGTTCACTCCGGTGTGACCATGTGCCCTGTGTGAGTATAGCGAGGGGAATAATAACACTGTGCCTGAGATGGAGCGTACACATCCCCTCATGCTCCCTGATGTGAGTGAGGAGGGTCGACACATGCGCATGAATGTGAGTATAGTGAGAGGAAAAGTGGCCCTTTCTTGGCGCCTCCGGATCCCCGCATGCTCCCTGATGTGACTGTAGAGGGGTGACTCTGGTGTGACCGTTGATCCCCTGTATGAGTATAGTGCAAGAAATAGTGACCCTTTGTTGGCGCGTACCCATCCCCACATGCTCCCTCATGTGACTGTAGAGGTGTGACTCTGGTGTGACTATGTTCCCTGTGTGAGTATAGCACTCTTAACTCGTCCTTTTCCTCCCCCGACCCCCAAGAGTCATTCCGTTTGAGCTGACTTAAAAGATGACCCATTGGGGGGCCCTGCTCATTCCGTTTGAGCTGACTTAAAAGATGACCCATTGGGGGGCCCTGCTCATTCCGTTTGAGCTGACTTAATAGATGACCCATTGGGGGGCCCTGCTCATTCCGTTTGAGCTGACTTAAAAGATGACCCATTGGGGGGCCCTGCTCATTCCTTTTGAGCTGACTTAAAAGATGACCCATTGGGGGGCCCTGCTCATTCCTTTTGAGCTGACTTAAAAGATGACCCATTGGGGGGCCCTGCTCATTCTGTTTGAGCTGACTTAAAAGATGACCCATTGGGGGGCCCTGCTCATTCCGTTTGAGCTGACTTAAAAGATGACCCATTGGGGGGCCCTGCTCATTCCGTTTGAGCTGACTTAAAAGATGACCCATTGGGGGGCCCTGCTCATTCCTTTTGAGCTGACTTAAAAGATGACCCATTGGGGGGCCCTGCTCATTCCTTTTGAGCTGACTTAAGAAACACCCTGCTGCGTTTTCATGCAATCCCCCATTGTCACTCTGCGTGACTGCGTCCCAACTCAAAGCCTTTCCCTCTGCGTGACTGCGTCTCCACTCCCAACTCCATACAATCACACTCTTGAGTCGACTCAAAGCCTTTCCCTCTGTGTGTGTGATAAGTCGAGTTTTGAGTCGACTCAAAACCCCCATTGTCACTCTGCGTGACTGCGTCCCCACTCCCAACTCAATACAATCACACTCTTGAGTCGACTCAAAGCCCTTCCCTCTCTGTATGCCCGTTCCTCCCTCCCTGCTCCTCGCCTTCCACAACAGGACTGGCTCCGCTATTGGTTGCAAGGCTCCCCGCTGCTCCAAACCATCCAATCACGTGGCGACATGTGCAGGTGCCTGTCCCCTTGCTCCTACAGTCACATCAACTGGCTTTCCTCACTCATCTATTCTCGGTTGTTTTACGAGCTTGGCCTTTTCTCTCTTTTTTTTGGGCCCAAAACACATCCTTGTCGTCTCACCCTGCAAATTGATCCCCGTCCTCTACCCATCCACCAGGGATGATGCTGCAGCGATTGGTCTTTGAGTCGACTCAAAAGTCACCTCATCTTTGTCATTTCACCCAGCCCACCAACTTGTTGCGCGTCTTCTACCCATCCACCAGGGATGATGCTGCAGCGTTGGTAGCGGCAGGAGCAAACAAATTACCTTTGCCATCACAGCAGCAGCTGCAGCAGCAGCAGCAACAACAACAACAATTGGTATCAGAGCAGTCGGTGCGGTGGGCTGCCAGTGTGCTTCTCAGCAGAGCCTTCGCCCTCGACCTGTCACTGGACCCTCTCAAGGTGCCCTCCCACTCTCTTCCTTTCCCCCGCACTCTCCTCCGCTCCCACTCTCTTCCGCTCCCACTCTCCTCCGCTCCCACTCTCCTCCGCTCCCACTCTCCTCCGCTCTCACTCTCACCCTCCGTCCTCGACCTGTCACGGGACCCTCTCAAGGTGTACGCCTGTTGTTTCCCCTCGCACTCTCCTTTCCTCTCACTCTCACCCTTCGCCCGTGACCTCTCACTCGACCCTCTCAACGTGCATCGTTTTCTTTCCTTGCCGCACTCTTGTCCCGTCCGCCAGCCATTCTCAATGTGATGGCATCACCACTCCACACCGCACCACACCACACCACACCACACCACACCACAACGCACCACACCACACCACACCATACCAGGCCTCGCCCTCTGCCTTGTCCCCTCAGCGAATTGCCTTTCCACGCCTGCCTTCCCATCGCATGTGTCCTTCTATTAGCCTCGTGTCTCCCTATCCTCGTGCCTCCCCAATCCTCGTGCCTCCCCAATCCTCGTGCCTCCCCAATCCTCGTGCCCCCCAATATTCTGCGAATCACCCTCATGCCTCCCCAATCCTCCTTGTCCTTGTCCTTCAGCCATTCCCAGGGGATGACATATTTCAACACCAGGCCTCACACTCTGCCTCGTCCCCTGGGCCGACTGCCTCAACCACAGCAGCACAGAGTCACTGTTGAATCCTATCTTGCGTCTCTTACTCTCTCTTCCCTCTGTTCCTCGTTGTCCTTGTCCTTCAGCCATTCCCAGGGGATGACATCTCAACACCAGGTCTCACCCTGTGCCTCGTCCCGTGGGCTGATTGTCTCAACCACAGCAGCACCGCCATCTCATTCGTCCCTCAGCATCACCCTCTTGCCTCCCACAACCCCCCTCTTTCTTTTCCCCCTCAGCCATTCCCAGGAGATGACATCAGCACACCAGGCCTCACCCTGTGCCTCGTCCCCTGGGCAGACTGTCTCAACCACACCAGCACCGCCACTGCAATGCCCCATCTCTCTTCTCATCCTCTCTTCCTCTCTTCCTCCCTCCTGTTTTTTTTTCCCTCAACTCCCTTTCTCCCCCTCAGCCATTCCCAGGAGATGACATCAGCACACCAGGCCTCACCCTGTGCCTCGTCCCCTGGGCCGACTGTCTCAATCACAGCAGCACTGCCACCGTCCTCTCCTGCCTAACCTACGACCCAGAATCCCGGACCGCCAGGCTCGGCGCGCACCGAGCCTACGCGCCAGGCTCGGAGGTGTTTGACTCGTACGGCCCGTGGCTGAGCCCCAGGCAGCTGTATCTGGACCATGGGTTTGTGGATGAAGTGGTGTTTGAGGGGATTCTGGCTTCTAACGAGACGACTCTTAACGAAGCATTCCTTAGGGAAGAGGCAGGAAGGGAGGAGCGAGAGGAAGGGGATCAGGATGAAGGGGAGGAGGATGAGGAGTGGGAGGGGGATGAGATGGAGGAAGTGGGAGCGGAAGTGGAGCAGGGCAGCTGGATGGGGTTTACGGCCCACATCGACCACGTGATTGAGTTGCCTGTAAGAATCTCCAGGTGATATACCACGTTTTGAGGCACCCCCAAATATCGCCAGGCCAGGTAGGTGGATGGGGTTGACAGCCCACATCGACCACGTGATAGAGATGCCTGTAAGACCGCCGTATAGCTGTCCTGTTTTGTTTCTATTCTCAACGTAGTGCTTACCAATGGGGTGCCTGTCAGAGCATGTATAGGGTGAGGTGAACACATAGGGGTGAGCTTTGTTTGCAGTTTGGGGGTTTGCAGTTTGGGGGTTTGCAGTTTGGGCTCTGAGCTTAGGGGTTAGCAATCCAAATAGCGCCTTCCTCAGGCACTGTGGCAAGATCTTCTGTCTGTCTGTCCTCAGGCCCCCATTTTCCTTCATGCATATCGTTCCCCACCTCATGAGTCATGCCTGTCCCCTCAACCCCCCATCAGGCGAACACCTTGGGTCACATCAACAGCACTCTCAACGCGTCCCTGCTGGAGGCAGCAGGTCTTCCCATTGGTGAGTGGTGTGGGCCTCTGTCATCATGCCGCTATCACACAATTACACCACTCCCCACACGCATGCACCTTGGGTCACATCAACAGCACTCTCAACGCTTCACTGCTGGAAGCGGCAGGCCTCCCCATTGGTGAGTGGTGTGGGCCTCTGTCATCATGCCGCTATCACACAATTACACCACTCCCCACACGCATGCACCTTGGGTCACATCAACAGCACTCTCAACGCTTCACTGCTGGAAGCGGCAGGCCTCCCCATTGGTGAGTGGTGTGGGCCTCTGTCATCATGCCGCTATCACACAATTACACCACTCCCCACACGCATGCACCTTGGGTCACATCAACAGCACTCTCAACGCTTCACTGCTGGAAGCGGCAGGCCTCCCCATTGGTGAGTGGTGTGGGCCTCTGTCATCATGCCGCTATCACACAATTACACCACTCCCCACACGCATGCACCTTGGGTCACATCAACAGCACTCTCAACGCTTCACTGCTGGAAGCGGCAGGCCTCCCCATTGGTGAGTGGTGTGGGCCTCTGTCATCATGCCGCTATCACACAATTACATCACTCCCCACACGCATGCACCTTGGGACGGTTTAGCAGCACAGCACTCTCATCAACACTTCTCTGCTGGCGGCGGCAGGTCTTCCCATCGGTGAGTGTGTGGGCCTGTGTTGCAGTGCCACTATAACACAACTGTTTCTTTCACGCATGCACCTTGGGACGGTTTAGCAGCACAGCACTCTCATCAACACTTCTCTGCTGGCGGCAGCAGGCCTTCCCATTGGTGAGTAAGCCTATGCACCTTGACCCCCCTCCCACCTCGTGTTGATGGAAGTAAGGCCTCCGCAGCCCACCTGTCCGCTGCTTTTGACAGGCCCCCCTCCCACCATCGGGCCCCCCTCCCACCATCGGGCCCCCCTCCCACCATCGGGCCCCCCTCCTACCATCGGGCCCCCCTCCCACCTCGTCCCACCTTGACCCCCCTCCCACCTCGTCCCCTACATACTCTCCTCGCTTCTCTCCAACCCCATCGGGCCCTGACTAGAGCATGCTGGCAGGGATGTTTTGAGAATGCTGGCTCTGGCTAAAATTCCTGCTTTGGATTTTCTGGCCCGTCCCACCTCTCACTCACTACACACCTGGCTAAAAGCACTACAGCAAAGAAGTGTGAGACAGTGAGGAGCTCCGGTACGGTAGGTACGTGGATCCTGACTTTGGTGAGAAGTCCCACCCTTTCACTCACTACACACCTGGCTAAAAGCACTACAGCATGCTGGCTTTGGCTAAAGCCGCCCCCCCCTCCTCCCGTCCCCACCCTCTCACCTCACACCTTGTCTCCCTTCCCCCTCAACAGACTCTTCTCACTTCTCCCACTCTCCTTCCGGCCCTCATGACCATAATGGCTTGGCCAAGGGCCTCTCCTCCCTCTTCACACCCACTCCCCTCCCCTCTTCACACCCACTCCCCTCCCCTCTTCACATCCACTCCCCTCCCCTCTTCACACCCACTCCCCTCTCCTGGTCCTTGCTCCCCTTTCTCCTCTTCCCCACTACAGACTCTTCCCGCTTCTCGCTCACTCCCGCCGGCTCTGGCAGCATGATGACAGCATGCTGCCTTGCCTTGCTGTCATCATGCCGCCAGGGGCCAGGGCCAAGGGCCAAGGGCCGCCCTGGCTTCCCCTGACCTCCTCCACTCCCCATTTCCCCCTTCCCCTTTTTAATCCCTTCCCCACTACAGACTCTTCCCGCTTCTCTCTCACTCCCGCCGGCCCTGATGACAGCATAGTGACGTGGCTAAGGGCCGCCCTGGCTTCTCCTGCTGAGCTGGCAGCGGCTGGCTGGCGCCACGTGGACGCCTCTGATTGGCTGAGCGGCGGCCGCAGCTGGCGGTTGGAGCAGAGAGCAGCGGCAGCAATGGGGAGAATTGCTGGGGGAGGTGTGACCGGGGAGGGAACTGAGAGAGAGGTGAGTAGAGGGGGATGGGGCCAAAGCTTGGGGTTTTGAGGTTCTTTATGGTCATTATGTGTTTTATGGGATTTAAGGGCTTGGGCATATACTTCTGACAAGACATGGTACCACCGCCTTGTCTCTGCGGCCCGCTCACAGCTGCAAGGGAACCACAATAGAGGATGGTCCTGCCCTTTTGAGTCGACTCAAAAGTCACCTGCTGAAACTCACTTTTTGTATCTCACTTTTCCCCTTCTCTTCCCTTCGTCCTTCCCCTCTTTCCAGGAATCCCGCGGCGTCATCTCTGCTGCTCAATCCGAGTTGCAAGGGTACTGAACAGCAAGTGAGGATGTTGCCTGCCAAAGCCGAGGTGACTTTTGAGTCGACTCAAAAGTTGCTCAATCCGAGTTGCAAGGGTACTGAACAGCAAGTGAGGATGTTGCCTGCCCAAGCCGAGGTGACTTTTGAGTCGACTCAAAAGTTGCTCAATCCGAGTTGCAAGGGTACTGAACAGCAAGTGAGGATGTTGCCTGCCAAAGCTGAGGTGACTTTTGAGTCGACTCAAAAGTTGCTCAATCCGAGTTGCAAGGGTATCGATCAGCAAGTGAGGATGTTGCCTGCCCAAGCCGAGGTGACTTTTGAGTCGACTCAAAAGTTGCTCAATCCGAGTTGCAAGGGTATCGATCAGCAAGTGAGGATGTTGCCTGCCCAAGCCGAGGTGACTTTTGAGTCGACTCAAAAGTTGCTCAATCCGAGTTGCAAGGGTATCGATCAGCAAGTGAGGATGTTGCCTGCCCAAGCCGAGGTGACTTTTGAGTCGACTCAAAAGTTGCTCAATCCGAGTTGCAAGGGTATCGATCAGCAAGTGAGGATGTTGCCTGCCCAAGCCTGACACTCACTCTTCCCCTCCTCTACCCTTCCTCTCTCCCCCAATCCCCACGCCCCAGGAATATCACCGCCTTATCTCTGCCGCTCAATCACAGCTGCAAGGGTACCGAACAACAATAGACGAGGACATTACCCTGTTGTTCAGTGCATCTCTCCCCTTCCTCCCTCCCCCCAACCCTCCCCCAATCCCCACGCCCCAGGTATATCACCGCCTTATCTCTGCTGCCCAATCACAGCTGCAAGGGTACAGAGCAACCATAGACGAGGACATTACCCTGCTGTAACTCTACTTCTCTCACTCTTCTCTCACTCTCCCCCCTTCCCCTCCCCTTCCCAGGTATACCTCCACCTCATCTCCGCCGCTCGATCCCAGCTGCAAGGGTACCGAGCAACCATAGACGAGGACATTACCCTACTGTTCAACGCCCCGCATAGCAAGGCACCTGAGAGATGGGCGGTCGCAGCAGTATTAAGTGAGAAGCTGGCGCTTGCTGGTGCTATTCAGGCGATGCAATCCCTTTGAGTTGACTCATGAGGTGTGGGAATAGAGGAGGGCATTACTCTGCTGTTCATGGCCCGGCAGAGTAAAGAGCCCGAGGGATGGAGGAGGATGTTCCACGGCTGTAACTCTCTTCTTCGCCTCCCTCCTCCTGCAACAACAATAGAGGAGGACATTACTTCGCTGTTCATGGAAAGGCAGGGTAAAGAGCCTGAGAGACGGACGGTCGCAGCGGTGTTGAGTGAGAATAGGGCAATGCAATGCGATGGCTGGTGCTATCCAGGCAATGCAATGCGATTGACTGACTTATAAGGTGTGGGAATGGACGGGGACGTTGCCGTGCGGTTCAATCAAGGCACAGCAGAGTAAATTGCCCGAGAGATGGGCCGTGGCGGTGGGGCTGAGAGAGAACCTGGCTCTGGCTGGTGCTGTCCAGGCAATGGACATCTTGCATCGTCTCGAGAGCTTCGACGATGGGGGGCGCCGAGGGGACATTGACTTACTGCTCTGTGCACCCCAGCGATCTCACAGCAAGGCACTCGAGAGATGGGTGCTGGCAGCAGTGTTGAGTGTGAAGCTGGCTTTACCGTATCAGGTCAGGTGCTGCGGTATTCAGATGATGCCTTCTGAGTCGACTCTGCTGGGTATAGGATTTGGGCATAGAATGAATAGGAGGATGCGGCTCTGCTGTTCAATGCACCCCATAGATTTCAGAACACAAACCGGGGGATAGGTGCGCATGCGTATAATTGCGGTCCAACAGTGAGCTTGGGCTGCCCATTTCCCAAGCATTATTCTGTTTTCAAGTCAGCTCTTCTCCCGCATGAGTGAGTGAACAGCATGTGAGACTGTATCACATATGTAGGTGTTGATAGTACGCTAATTGAAGTAATAGCATTTAAGTTTACAGGTGCAGGTACCTAAACTAAATATTTTGTAAACAATACTGAAATAATAGCAAATAAAATAGGGGAAGGCAAATTTAGGCACGTCAACTAAATATTTTGTAAATCAATACTGCACCATGTTTTGAATGTCTCCCTTTTTCTGGCCCCAATCAAACCCGCTACGGCAATCACACCTGTTGTCGCGTACCCGCCTTGTTCTCTCCCTCTCCACGCGCCACGCGACGAGCTCCACCTCGGGATCGCCGAGCACCCAGCTCCAGTACAGCAGCGCGTGAAACACGTCCTTGCGCGCCAGCACCTTGGGCTTGCCGTTGCGCCCAAGCTCCTGCGCGCTCCCCGTGCGCGTGTTGCCCGTCGCGTTCAGCACCCCGCGCTCATCCACCCGCGTCACCAGCCAATCCACGCCGCGCCTCCCGACCTCCAGCAGACGCGACCTAATCTCCGCTGACTCGGACACGTCTTGAATATGCGGTGCGACGTAGAGATAGTACCGAGCCGCGTAGACCAATCCTATGCCTTGGTAGCTACAGTCGTAACCTCGCCTCTCATAATTAAATCCCGCTGGATCCTGCATCGCGAGGCCGCTTCGGATGTATTTGATTGATCGCTCGATGAGGGATTGATTCCCCGTTAGTAGCCCAGCCATGCCGAGAGCTGTGCCTGTTAGGTACCGCCTGTGCGTGTGCACCGCGTCGTTTTTCCACCCGATGCGCTCGATATCAGGTCGGACAAACCACGCCGCCATCGCCGCGACATCCGAAGCGGCGTTGCGAATCCACCGCTTGTACATCGGCTGGTTACCAAGTCGCGAGTGTCGCAGCAGCAGGGCGGCTCGGGCAGCCGACTCCAAGAAAAAGCCCGCGCTGTGGTACACATCCGGGCAGCTGAAAGATCCGTTGGCGTCCATCTGTTCGAAACCCCAGTCGAAGATTTTCATCCCGAGGCGAATCGCGTCCGAATTATTGAACGCCAAACCCGCTTGGATGAACAAAAAACCGTAATACTGTTCCTCGATATACCACTTGCCGGCGCCCGTTACGTCGTAATTCTGATTATGCCGCGAATACGCTCCGTTCTCGTTACAGTGTCCCATGAGATCCTTGTAACTCTTCACGTCCCGATGGCTATCCAGCGCAGTGCACACCGCAAACGCCGCGTCAAGGTCGACGTCGTGAGGACACGCCGCTCTCGCCGTTCCGACGCGCCGGTTCGAAGCAAGCTGCTGATCATTTTGCGGCTGTTCCGATTCAATCAACGTATCTTCATCGTTCTGATCCTCCTCATACCGGCCCCGTGCTGCCGCCGTGCTGGTTGCCAAGAACGAGAGCCAACTCCCTCCTGCGGCGGACCCCTCAACCAATCGTCTCCCCGCGAATCGCGCCGCAACACGCGCCTCCTCGGAGGATCGAAGAGACTCCCGAGGGTTGTCCGTGATTGCAGCCGCAGCTGCAAGCATGATTCCGTAAGAACGCGATGATAGCGATATTGAGTCATGTGCGGGCCGGACCGACGAGTCGGCGTGCTCGAGCCGCGGAATGCCGCCACGTGGCGAGTAGGAATTCGGAGTTCCAGCGTGTAAGACGACGAGGAGAAAAACTGCAGCAGCCAGCCTTGGATTGCTACAGGATTTGAGACGCCTTGAAAGCTGGCCATGATGATCAACATATTGTCGGGGGCGGATCTCCGCCGGTCGCGGTTCAGACCCAAAGTGAGTCATGTCGCCGCGACTTGACCTTGGAACGGTACCGGAATGAAATCGGTGCAATTGTAATGCTCCGGAGCTACGATCTCAATGCCTCCAGAGCGCAAGCAGGGGCATGAGAAGTGTCGGGGTGATGACGAATGAAATGGCAAAAGGCAAATAAATAGCACTACGTATGTCTGTGAGTCAGTGGTGTGTGGAACTTGTGTGCAGCCACACTTCTGTTTGACGGGCTGTTTCAGCACAAACCTTCTGAGCGCGAATCCCCATGTGCAACCGGAAACACACCAAGTCAGGGCTACAACTATTTTTATGCCATTCCAACGTCTAAATCAATGACATAATCAGTTGCTAGGGGCTATGCATGATGCTGTGAACTGTCGTGTCGATGTCGGAAAAATACCGTTATCTGTGTGTCATGTGAGCATCGTTCACTGTCCCTCGCTTCTGTTTGCTGCCGTTTCTTCGAGCCGAACCAAGCAGAACCACGCAAAAGAAAAAACTCGTCTTTGCTCATTGTGGTTTGTGCGATGTGATGCGAACGGACTTGACGGAGGGCTGTTCGTTCACACTCCCTCGGTATGGATCGCTGTGTACCTGATGCTCGCATGTCATCGCGAATCGTCGCAAGCTTGTCAGAAATTGTACCGACAGCCACGGTGTTTGGCAATCAGCGAGTCAGGAGGCGGTGGAGGTCAGACGAAGTCTATTTGAACCTTGTCAGGTGGAATTCACATGAATCCCAGGTGTTTTGTTGTGTTTCACGCAAGCAACGGGCGCGTCGAGCGAGGGAGTAACGAAGGGAGAGCGGAGCCTCGGGAGCGGCAGGAACGGCGGGAGCGGCGGGAGCGACAAGGAGGAGGGAAAAATACATGTTCACTTACAAAGGCCTCGATTACACGTACAGTCACCAAAATAGGTGAAGGTTTTGGCCTTCACAATTCTCCTGAATCTCCACCAGTTACTAAAGACCAAACTACCCTCGATTGGATTATAGCATTATTACAAATCAGACGTCCCTGGCTGATCGCCATAAGGTAGAGAGGTGGATATATGTCTGTCAATACATCGAAATCAAATATAAATGTTTTAACTGACCATACATGAAATTTTGAATTATATTGGTGTATCAAAAGCGTGTTAACAGGGATACACGCGTATTCACCCAATAACGAGACACTGAACACTTCACGCATCGATCCGCCACGGGAACGTGTGTGACGTGTACTGGGTTCTGTTCCCTCACAGAGAGGTACACCAGAGGTTCGCATCTTCGTCTCAAATTGAGACAAATGATCGTGAGCCGTCGCAACGGGTTACGTACAGTGTATCGTACGGTGCACCACAACACCCAACCTCCAGCGTAGGTTGATGGGGATGATGAACTGTGCTGAGGGAGTCCGGCAACTAGCGAGTCACGACGATTGCCGCAGGTCAGTCAGAGGAAGTCTATCTGTTGAACTTTGCCAGGTCAGGATCCAGATGTTTTTTGCGTTCACACGACACCGCACTGCACTCTCTATACAGTAACAGCTGCTTGGGTGTTTGTGGTAACGGACGGCACTATGGTCCAAACCACCAGCCTCCTATTGCTGTTGTGGCCCAGGAAGGGACCTTTGGCTTGGACCGAAGCCTTGCATCACCCTGAAATAGTGTACACCTAACCACCGCTATTTTCAAGGGGGAAACCCAGCCCACTAATCTCGCGTGTCAAAGTTACCCTGCACGTTTTCGACTATTTCAGCTCGACACTTATTTGACTGGGGCTATGAATTACACCTAATGCTCGAAGTTTAAACTCATTATGCGAATCTGAATCCATAGCGCAATTCTACAGTACTCTCTTCGGGGATCTGGAACAGACTCTCGCTAAAATTTAATGATGCCCCACACAACCCTCGGTCAAAGATTTAGAAAGGGTGCATACCCCACTTGTGCAAGTGGGGTTGAAATAGACCGAAAGAAAATAGCGGTGGTTAGGTGTACCCGCTTTGGCGGTACTGTGTAATGTACACTCTTCGTCCCTAGCTCCGCTTCCCTCTCAGCCTCCTACACCTAACCACCGCTATTTTCTTTCCGTCTATTTTCAACCCCACTTGCGCAAGTGGGTATGCACCCTTTCTTGAATATTTGACCGAGGGTTGTGTGGGCGTCAGAAATTTCACACTGATTTCACAGTGTGCTGGTTCCAGACCCCCAAAAAGAGTAGAAGTGGCACAAGGGAATTCGCGACAGCAAAAGTGCCCATTCTCAGATTTGCTTTCATGCGTTTCTTAACATTAAAAATCGGGGTGCTTCGTAGCCCAAGTTCCCCAAGTGCCCAACTGAAATAGTCGAATGTGTGCAGGGTATCTTCGAAACGCGGGAACAGTGCAATGGTTCGGAGTTGAAAATAGCGGTGGTTAGGTGTATTGCTGTTGTGTGTGATGTGAATCCTCCGTAGCTTCACTTCGACTGGCCGGACTTCACCCACAGCTAGCCAGTTCTCTGAACCATCACGCCGTCCACAGAGAGACTCGACACACTGACAGCTCCATACTATCCTTTCTCTGCATTTTTTGTTTCTTCCTTCTGATGTGAAATATTTGCTTGCCATCATGTCTCTAAATGGCGGACCACAACCATCATCTCGCGCCGCCTACCTCGCTCTCCTAGGATCAAGCGCGAGACCAGCGTCGCCGATCCTTAGCGCGCCGCCACGTTATGCTCGTTCTGAGCACGAAACATCCGCGCCCGCCCATCCCCGTGTTCCCAGTCAACGAATAAGGCCTCTCAAATCCCCAAATGGACTGAAATCTCCGACCAATCTCAAGTCTCCGACTCGTTACAATGAGAAACTATTGTTCTACACTCCGAAGAAGGCCTCCAAAACACTCAGCTTCTTTTCTGTCCAGCCTCGCCGAATCCCCATCCTGATATTTTTATGCGCGAATTTCTTCGGAGCGATCGGCTTCATTGCGCACGGTATCTGGGACTCCGTTGGTTCGCCGTCCACTCGCGCAGCTGTCACTTCGATTCTCGTCAGAAGACGCCTGGCTGGAGTTCCTGTCGCCGCGTCGCGCGACACTATGTTTCGCTCGACAACTGGCGGGCAAACTTGGGTTGGGTTGCTCGCCACTCAGCCGCTCGCAGCAAAGTTTCTCAGTCGGGATTTTTTTACTCAGCTTGACGAGCGAATCTACGGCGAATGGCCGGCGAACACCGATTGCCCTGGCGATTTTTACCTGGATAAAGCTTTTGCGATCTGCACGGCTCTAGATAAGCACCGATCGGTGCGCAGTATCACGGATTTAGATGGCCACGCGAACGAAAACGGCGCGTATTCGCGACACAATCAGAAATACGACGCAACTGGTTCGGGGAAGTGGTATATCGAGGAACAGTATTACGGGTTTCTATTTATTCAAGCAGGTTTGGCGTTCAATAATTCCGAAGCTGCTCGAATCGGAATGAAAATCTACGACTGGGGTTTCGACCAGCAGCGAGAAGATGGGTCTTTCGACTGCCCGGACGTGTACCACAGCGCGGGTTTTTTCATGGAGTCCGCCGCGCGGGCAGCTCTGCTGCTAAAATCCTCGCATTGGGCGGCGCATCCTGTCTTCCAGCGGTGGCTGCGGAAAGCGGAGAAGCGCGTCGCATCCATGGCGGCGTGGTTTGTCCGACCTAATGTTGAGCAGAACGGATGGAGAAACGACGCGGTTCACGCGCACAGGCGGTACTTAACAGGCACAGCGCTCGGCATGGCTGGGCTACTAACGGACAACCAAACCCTAATTATGAAATCGATCGAATACATCCAAAGCGGACTAGAGATGCAGGATCCATCGGGTTTCAACTACGAGAGGGGAGGCTACGACTGCAGCTATCAAGGCATAGGTTTGGTCTATGCGGCTCGGTACTATCTCTACGTCGCGCCGCAGATGAAAAACGGGACCAAATCAGAGGAGATTAGATCGCGTCTGCTGGAGGCCGGGCGGCGCGGAACAGACTGGCTGGTGACGCGGGTGGATGAGCGGGGGGTGCTGAACGCGACGGGCAACACGCGCACGGGGAGCGCGCAGGAGCTTGGGCGCAACGGCAAGCCCAAGGCGTTGGCGCGCAAGGACGTGTTTCACGCGCTGCTGTACTGGAGCTGGGTGCTCGGCGATCCCGAGGTGGAGCTGGTTGCGTGGCGCGTGGAGTGGGATAGAACCAGGCGGGTGCGCGACAGGCGGTGTGACTGCCATGGGAGGTTGGGTTCGGGTCTAAAGAATGTGGAGATTCGGAAAATGGTACAGTAACTGTTGTTTTAGGTGGTGGGTTTTGAGGTGTACTATGTAGCGTACATTGCCCACGAACTGGGCTGGAGAGGCCTGCAAGGGTGTGTTTCACGCCCGTTGTATTGGAGCTGGGTGGGGGCTCGGTGGGTGCTCGGCAATCCCAATGTAAAGGTCGCCCGCAGCCCACCGTACAGGAGATGCGATTCTAACGTGGGATGGTGTAGAAGAATGTTCTTTATGGTTTAGGGTGAAGGGGGTTGGCAGGCACTGGAAAGGTTGGAGCAGGGGTAACACAGGGAAACAGTTGTAGCAGCTGTGGGAGCTGTAGATGTGATAGCCGCTGCAGTATTCTGGAAGCTGTGGCGGTCACGCTGTGAGAGTAGCGCAATTGCAGCGGCTGTAGTGGCGGTGGTATGGTAGGAATCGCACAATAAGCGGTGCTGCAGTTGTAGCAGCCTAGCCTGCTGTTGTGGGGGCAGTCAATGTGACAGCTGTGGGAGCAACAGCAGTAGTTGAGACGGGCAAGAACGGCTGTGGGGGCTACAGACTGCTGTTCTTTGCTTCTGTTCTGGGCACCAGAGCAGGGGGTTAAGGGACTTGCCTGCACTGTTTTGTTACATTCTAGGGTGGTGCTGTACCAGTGGACGCAATAAATGATAAAACCCGTGCACCATATGTTTACCATAGTTTCATTCCTATCATAGTGGACCTGCTGGGACAATCCTTTAGGGTATTGTAACTAATCAACGTGGCCCCATTTATACTGGACCAGCTAGTAGCCAATACCAGGGAGTTGCCATGGAAGTTGAATGCTGGTCTGAATCACTCCCCTTCAAGACTCCAAGCCTGCCATTTCACATCCCCTAATCCACAGCTCCAAACATGCAACCGTCACCTCGCACCAAAAAGAAGAATTTACAGCTCCCTGACCGTAAGATTGAGCCTGCCCGGCCGGAGAGCGGTCTCCCGAATCAACCAATCAGGCGCCGTGCCACCATGCACACATGGCACGCCGTGAAACATCAACCGGGACGGACCCCCAAACACCACCACATCCCCTGATTCTAACACCACCCTCGCTGCTTTCTCCGGGTCTCTTTGCCACCCGAATAGGAAATCCGCCGCATCTCCCACCGAGAAAGAGACGACTGGCGCCCCCCCGCGGATTGAAGCGGGCGGTTCGTCCTTGTCCTGATGCATGCCGAGGGCTCCGCGCCGGGGAGAGTAAAAGTTTGCGATGCAGACCGAGGGGGTCATGTCTGGGAGAATGTTTTTGTTGCTGCTGCCCGAGGCGGCTCGGGCAGCCGTTTGGGCAGCAGAAACGGCTTGTACGGCAAGGGAAGATATGGAGGGGGGAAGAGGGGGAGGTTCGGCATCATCTACATAGGTTCGGCGGGGCTGGTAGGTTCGGAGATTTGGCTCCCAGTGCTGCTGCCCAAGACACATCATGTGAAGTTTCATCTGCCCGCCGTTGAGGAATTTCGGGCGATAAAATCCTCCCGGTCCCAGGCCAAGGCGACGGCACTCCTTCACAATGTCAATCTGCAGGAAGGGTTAGTACACTCAAAAGAAAGGGTTACACCAGGTTTTAGAGTCTCAAGGCAAGTTCAGTATAGTCAAGAGGATAAGCTTCACAAGAATAACAAGGTTGACAGGTCATGACAGGCAGCAGGAAACGAAAGGAAAATGACACGTGGATAAATGAAACTTGGAATCAGCCACTAAATTACCTGCTGCTCCCTTGTAAGCCATCCCTTAAGCAACACCACCCCATCCTGCAACACTCCCCCTCTCCCCCCATCTATCCCAGCTTCCACCCCCTTCCCTCCCCTCACCCCCCCCACTCCTCTCAGCAACCCTCCCTGCTGGTCCATCTGCACACATATGTCAAACCTCCCATCCACGTCAGCTTCGTCATCTGCCAGGTCAGCAAGCCCTGCCAGGTCAGCAGGGACGCCACACGGGCCGTCCCTATCTCGATTCTCCCGAGGATCCAATCCCCCTCCTGCCGCCCCTCTTCCAATCGCTCCTTGATTTCCCATCCCACCTCCTCTCGAACCCCCCTCCTTCTCAATTCTTCTGTTCCTGCCCCCCCCACTCCTCCCCCCCACCTCCTCCTCTATTTCTCTCATTGCTTCCATCAGTGGCGAGTCATGCTGAAGCCTCGCCATGCCCTCCTTATAAGCACCTCTTCTTCTGTCACTCTCCTGTTCTTTCAAATGCTGCTGCTCCTGCTGCCCCTTCTTCCCCTTGCCTCCCTTCTTGCCCTGTACAGTAGCATCAGTTGTACTAGCACCACCAGCACCAGCACCACCAGCACCAGCAACATTGGTACTGCTATTAGTACTGCTTGGTTTAACAAACACCGGAGCTGCAATTGGAAGGTTTGGGCTCGGCATGAGCCGGGTTCGGCCCGAACCACCCGCTGCCGACCCCCCCCCTCCGCCACCTTCCCCCTTTATAAGCACTTTTATCCCTGAAACCACTTCCTGCTTCACTGTAGGAATCTTCTCCCTCTCTCCTTGCTCCTTGTCTCCTTGGCCTCCTTTACTACCTCCCATTAGGAAGATACTGCCTACACCAGTTCTACCTCCCCCTGGTTTCCCGTTCGCCCCCTCACTTGCACCCTTTCTCTGCTTCTCAGAACCTTCCTGCCCTGATTTGGCTCCCGCAGACCCTGCTGCGTCAGCTCCACCACCTGCCACGTCAGCCCCAGGGGTATCCGCCACGAGAACCCGTCGACCAATCAGATCGAGCGTAACAACCACCCTCCTCCTCCTCTCCTCCTCCTCCCTCTCCCTCTCCTCCTCTCTCCTCCTCAGAATCTCCTTCTCCTCATTCGTCAGCCAAGCATCCCCGTCCCCATCTGCACCGTTGGATTTGAAATAATCACTCTGATCGTCGATCACCACCGTCCGTTGGGCCGACGTGCGATTATACTCCACCAGTCTATCCCTAAACGCTAGAGCCTTCGCCTCAGCTTCCGTTGTCCCTGCTGCTGCTCCTCCCACTCCTCCTCCCACCTCCTCCCATTCCTCCCATTCCCCCTCAATCCCCACCCCTGGCGCCGCATCCCCCATACTATCAGACCCTCTAAGCACCAAAACGCCGCAGAACTTACACGGCCCTTCGCCCTCTTGCTCGCACACGATCTTGCCACACGCTAAGCAATTGTTAACTAAGTGATGGATGGCCGCCTGGCACTCGCACGGCGCGCCTTGCTTAAACACCCGCCCTTGCTCCAAGTCCGCCAGGCCCACCGCCATCCCGCCCCTCCGCTTCTTTGCGCCCGCGGATTTCCCCCCGCCCGCGCTTCCTCCCGCCCCTCCGCCAACCCCTCCGCCAGTCCTTCCGCCAACCTTTCCGCCAGCAGCACCGCTCGCTGCCGCACCTTCCGGAGCCTCCGCTCCCCCTGCGCTTCCCCCTTCCCCCAACCCCCCCCCTGCGCCGGTCCTGCGCGAGGGCGCGGAGACAGATCCGGAAGCTTCGTCGAACTTGGGCTTCACGTAGACCTCGATGTTAGGGTTCTCGTGACTGTATTTGGTGTGACTATAATCATGCGCTTGTTGTTGTTGCTGCTGCTGCTGCTGCTGCCGGTGCTGCTGCTTTCCTCGAGCGTTTCGCGGAGTATTTTGCGCCGAATTTTGCGGCGGCTGAGACGGCGCCCCGCCCTGCTTTATCTGACGCCTTCGTTCCAAATACCCGGAAACTACGGCCATGGACTGATCCGATTCGCCGACAATATTCGAAAGATACTCTGCCACGTCAGCATCGGAGGCATTAGGGCAGTAGCTGACTAAGCCTGACACCATGTCAGCATCCAGGAACGGCAGCGCGTCGCGCATCGCTAGGAGCTGATTCTGCAGCCATGCCTCCGGCGTCGCGGATGCTGACGTGGCCATGAATTCAGCGGAGCCGAGGTCTAGTGGATTCAAACAGTGAATCTCGTCCAATTGGCTATATCGCGACTCGCGACAACGAACTAAATGCGCAGGACTCATCGTCACATAGGGTTATAATGGTCAGATTCAAAACATGGTCCCAAATCCCAACTCCCAATACCCTACCCAACCAGCCTAGGTATCAACTTAACCGTTGTAGAACCAGCTGAAGCCTTGGGAACCCCGATACGGGCAGATGCACTTCGGCTACGGAGCCTACGTGAGATTATGATAGCTACCACAGATCCACTCGATACAAACATATGCCACAATTTTGTTACAATACAAAGAGTACATGGAATATCAAATCAAGGGAGGCAGCATAACTACATCCCTGAATCAGTCAGCACCCATCCGTCCCTAAACTCTTTTGTCCAAACCTTACCAACCAACCCATATCTGAATAAACAGAATATCCTGATCCTCAGAGGAAACTGACCTTGTAATCCGCAGCATAGCGCCACAGCACAAAAAAATTACACCACCACCACCACCACCACCACCCACTATACTAGTGCAAAGCACACATCTTCCAGTCTCCCATATGTCATCATGCACCCTTTTCTTGGATTTGTTTCCCTTGGTTGTTCGTTAGTGAGGAGTCCTCCTCACGCATCAGCACCACAGCATATACGGTAGAATGCGACGTGAAGTGAAGAGCCGTCTGTGTGGCTATTTCGCTCGCGCGCGGATTTTGATCTCGACTCAACAACAGCTTGAAGTCAAGAAGCTACCAGTATCAAAGCTGCTCAGGCAGATGGCAAACGCCTGCACATGTGATGCGGGCACATGCAAGCACACAAGCACAGAAGGGTTACTTTGAGTTGACTGGAAACACCACTTTGGTATCAAAGCTGCTCAGGCAGATGGCAAACGCCTGCACGCATAATGTAGGGAAACAAAAACATATGGGGAAAACACACAGGATGTGGGAACACATACGTACAAAGCAGAAGAGAACAACCAGTCAGAGACATGTGATATGAAGCAAGGAAAGCACATATGACATGTCGGCATGCACAAAGAAAAAAGGCCAGAAGGCAAGGGGAAGAGAACAAGAGGTGATGGGGACATGGGAGATGGGAAAAAACGATACCCAAAGACACACAAACCCGAAAAAACACCTGGCAGGCAGCACCCACCTGGAAGGCAGTAAGTGGGTATCTGTAATCCATGGTGAATGTATGCTTGCCTATCTCGCCAAACTACAGCAACACTTGCTTGCCAGAGCACCGGCTCTCAACCAGACCAACACCTGAAAACCCACCTGGAAGGCCGTGAGCGGGTATCTGTAGTCCATGGTAAACGTGTCCTTGCCTATCTTCCCAAGCTGCAGCAGCAAGGGCTTGTCCAAGTCATTTCCCCGGCCCGCCCCTCTCCATGAGCTACCCTCAACCACACAGAGCAGCACGCACTTGGCACAGGGGCAGGGGCAGGGGCAGGGGCAGGGGCAGGGGCAGGGGCAGGGGCAGGGGCAAGGGCAGGGCGGCAGGGGGAAGCTCAAGGGCAGCAGGGGGAAGGAAGGGGTCCGCGGAGGCGGGGAAGGGGGAGATATGAAGGCCTTCGCTGCCGCTGCTTTCCTGGAAACCTCCGCCTTGCGTGATTTGAGTTGACTCAAAAGCCACCTGGAAACCTCCGCCTTGCAACCAACCCTGATTGCCCTCCTGCTCACTCCTTCCCTCTCCACTGCTCTCCTGCTGCTCACACGCGCCGTCTGTCGGCCAATCCCCACACTCCTCCTGCTGATTCCCCTCCTCTAAACTCCCGTCCTCCGGACTGCTCTCCTCTTGACTCTTCTTCTCCCACTGCCCCCCTGCTTCCACACCCTCCTCTCGCATGCTCTGCTGCTCATTGCTCTCCTCCTTACCACTGCTCCCCATTCTCTCTCCCGCACCCATCTCTTCCCCACTCTCTGGGAACGAGACCAAGGGCTCTCTTGTGCAGATTGTGGGTGGTGACCTTGCTTCCCTCGCTTCCCTTGCTTCCTCCGCTGCTGTGCATTCTTGCTTCTCGCCCTCCCCCTCCTCTTCTCCACTCCCAGTGAGCCTCACCAGCAATCTCTCCTCCTCCTCCCTCTCCTCCTTCTCTTGCCTCTCCTCGGTCTCGTTCTTCCTCCTCTCCTCTCCCGTCCCCTCCTCCCTCTCTACCTCCCCTCTCTCCACTCTCTTCCCCTCCCCTCTCTCTCCCTTCCCCTCTTCCTCCCGCCCTCCCACTCTCCCTTCAGTCACTTCTTCTACAGTCACCTCCTCTCTCTCCCCCCCTCCCCACTCAAACTCACTCACAATCCCCCCCGCCTCCCCCTTCCCCCCACTGAGCCTGTATGCGCAAGAACGGGCGGCGGGAGAGGCGGAAGACAGCGCGGAAGAGGGAAGCTTCGAGCAAGGGGGGAAGGCGGAAGCGGGGAATGTGCGCGGAGGCTTGACGATACCGCTGCTGACGTGGCCGTGTCAGCGTCATTTGCGCCGTTACAATCGCCCCGACCACCAATGGCGCTGCCGCTGCCACTACTGCTGGTAATACCTGCGCCGAGTAATCCTGTCCCGTCGCTACCCCTGCTACAGCTGGCGCCGCTACAGCTGGAACCGTTAAAGCTGCCCAAGTTACCGTTACACGCGACAGGGGTGCCGGCCCCTCTGCTGCCCGTGCTGCTGCTGCCACAGTTGTAACCACAATGGTGGTTACCACACCGATTGCTACAGTGGTTACAGTGGTGGTAACCGTTGGCGGAAAAAGCGGCTCCGCGGGGATGCACCTTGCGGCTGCTGCTGCTACTTCCGCCGTGCGCCAGCGACGCCGCGCCGAGAGAAAACGCGGGCTGCACGAGGAAATGCGGCGCGGGGGGGACGGGAGGGCGGAGGGGGGGGGGGGGGGGGGGGGGGGTGAGGGTGAGGAGGGGAGGGAGAGGAATGGGGGGGCAGGCGAAACGGTAAAATTGGCGCAAATTAACGGACGCCGAGAGGAGCTTCGGCAGTTTTGGGCTTGGAAGATAAATACTGCGTTACTGGGTGCATTTTTTCTCGCCTATGGCATTCGCGACAGCTTTCTTACACCCTGGGTGTCGAGCGCTATGGTAGCTGCGGCGGATCCGTCAAGACAATATACACTACGAAAGAAGAACTCCAATACTGTAGCAAATACGGGTGCGGGTTGAAGAGCCGTAAGCTTCTTCTAGAAGTCTTCACATCCAAGTTACCCCTAACTACTCAAACTCTAAAACAGTCTATTCTAAGACGACTCAAAAGTCGGTTGTAGAACTGTAACCTTCCTAACATTGTGCGATGCGAACGAACTCAGGTTTCATCGCTCACCTCGTGCGACGATTCAAAGACGGCAAATCGCGTGCTTAGGAAATTCGCTCGCAGGCGACCGACGAACGAACTTCCGCCGCGCGAAAAGTCTTTCGGATCCAGCGAGACCACGTACTCCATGCTGGAATGATTTCGAAAGTTGCGAAACAGAGCGAAACGGACACAATAGGGTGACCAGCACAAACACTTTTTCCATGCAAACGTGAATTTGCGAGACACAAACTCAGGTGTGCGATTTGAAGCGAACGAAGGCATTAGCGTAACCAGCACAAACAAGGGTTTGTTAAACGGGCAGAATAGGGCTACAAGCACAAACACCAACTCCGGTTTAGGGTCAAACGATTTTTTAAAGCAGTCGGCTATCCGCTTACCTTGACGGCCGCCAGCCGCACTTGCGCGCCGCGAGCAGGAACTTGCCGTTCTCCGTCGAATTCGGCGGCACGCCCAGAAACAGCGTGAACGTGCCGGTCTTGCGCGAGCGGCGAATGAAGCACTCCACGCAGCGGTCGCGGGTCCTTCTGTTCCCGCCCCCCCCGCTCCTCCCCCCCACCTCCTCCTCTATCTCCCTCATAGCTTCCATCAGTGGGGAATCATGCTGAAGCCTCGCCATGCCCTCCTTATAAGCACCTCTCCTTCTGTCACTCCCCTGCTCCTTCACGTGCTGCTGCTCCTGCTGCCCCTTCTTCCCCTTACCGCCCTTCTTGCCTTGCCCAGTTGCCTCATTTGAACTAGCACCACCAGCAGCAGCACCACCAGCAACAACAGCACCACCAGTACCACTAGCACCATTGGTACTACTGTTAGCACTGCTTGGTTTAACAAACACGGGAGCTGCAATTGGGAGGTTCGGGCTTGGCATGAGCCGGGTTCGGCCCGAACCACCCGCTGCCGAACCTCCCCCACCCCCACCTTCCCCCTTTATAAGCACTTTTATCCCTGAAACCACTTCCCGCTTCATTGTTGGGATCTGGCCCCTCTCTCCTTGCTCCTTGTCTCCTTGGCCCCCCATCAGGAAGATACTGCCTACACCAGTTCTACCTCCCCCTCGCCTCCCACTCGCCCCCCCACTTGCAGCCTTTGTCTGCTTCTCAGAACCTTCCTGCCCTGGTTTGGCTCCCTCAGACCCTGCCACGACAGCTCCACCCCCTGCCACGTCAGCTCCAGGGCTATCCGCCACGAGAACCCGTCGACCAATCAGATCGAGCGGAGGAAAACTGGATTCTAGCGAAGCTCGTAGAAAACTGGATTCTAGTGAAGCTCGTAGAAATGGCTATGTCACAGCAACGAAGTAGAAGCACAGTGTTGGTCGCGAAACGCCTCACGGGAGGCTTACGCGGCCTTAACGGGGCCTCGACGAGGCCTTTACTCAACCCTGACGCGATCCTGAGGCGATTTCTGCTTCGCGTGGTCTTCACTGATCCTTCACGGGGCTTTCGCGGGCCCTACACTCGAGTGAAACAGGTTCGGCCCTTCGCAGGGCTTTGACGGGAGTCTCGCGGCTGAAATTTCCGTCACTAATGCTTGTCTAAGCCTTCACAAAGGCTTCTCCGTAGGTTTGACGCGAATCTGACGGGAGTCTCATCAAATGCTCAAAGTTTCGACCAATCAGGATTGAACACAATGTTTGAAGCGATAGAATTTCAAAGTGTTACTTCAACAACCTGGTACAACAAATATATAGGTTCAAGCAAGGTACAAAATGGGCTAGGTAACAAAACGTGTCCAACACGTTACGTGGCGCCTCGTTTCACCCCGCGTCGCACACGCAACCTTTCTCCACCTTCGTCGAACGCGCCTGAAGTCCGCATTTGGTTCCTTGCTGAACACGCCACAGTTGACCCACACAATTTCCCCCCGTCGATCACTTTCTCCTCACTTCCTCCTCGTCAATGTCTTCCTTCCATACTTCTCTTGCCGTAGCTCATACTCCCAAGCAATGTCGTAGTTTCCTCTCTAGTTCCCAAGGCACTGTCAACACGCCACCGTCAGTCCGTCTTAGTCGTCGGTCCGAATAATGAGCGCCGTCGTTAGTGTGGTTCTGCGAACCACTCCAACACACACGACTGCTCGTCCCATTTATTAGTCGGTCAGATTTGAATCAGCGTCCCGATATACCCTAACCAACGAGCCTAGGTATCAAATTGACCGTTGTAGAACCAGCTGAACCGACAATTGTCCAAGCTTTAGGAGGAATCTGGTAACCGGTTGTACCCGATACGGGCAGATGCACTTCAGCTACGGAGGTACCGTGAACTTCTACTCTGATACAAACATAAGCCACAATTTCGTTACAATACAAAGAGTACAGGAATAACAAACAAGGGCACCAGCATGACTACATCCCTGAATCAGTCATCACCATCCGTCCCTAAACACAATTGTCCAAACCTTAATAACCAACCCATATCCGAGGTACACAAAAGACAATCCCGTTCCTCCAGAGGAAACTTACCAGTACCTTTTCATCCGCAGCATTGCACCACAAAGCAGAAAAAATACACCACCACCACCACCCGCTGTATCAGCACAATGCACATGCCCTTTTCCAGTCTCCCAGATATCATCACGCTGTCTTTTTTTTTCATTTGTTGCCCTTGGTTGTTCTTGAGTGAGGAATCCTCTTCACGCATCATCAGTACCACACCACACCACACCATATCTAGAACGCAACGCGAAAAGCCGTCGGTGTCACTATTTCGCTCGCACGTGGATTTTGGACTCGACAAAACAACAGCTTGAAAAGCTTTCAACTGATGATGGAAGTGATGATGGAATCACTCGCACGCCACTTTGGTATCGAAACTGCTCAGGCAAATGGCAAACGCCTGCACGCATAATGTAGGGAAAACACACATGACGTGGGAACACATACAAAGCAGAAAACAATCCGTCAGACATGTGATATGAAGCAAGGAAAGCACATGTGACATGTGACATGTGGGCACGCACAAAGAAAACAGCCCAGAAGGCAAGGGGAAGAGAACACGGGGAGACGGGAGATGGGGAAAGCGTATTGACACGATACCCAAAGACAAACCTGAGGAAACACCTGGCCGTCCACACTTACCTGGAAGGCCGTGAGTGGATATCTGTAGTCCATGGCGAATGTGTCCTTGCCACTCTTCCCAACTGCAGCAACACCGGCTTGCATGCGTATCAATACCTGAAAGGAAACTCACCCTGAACACGCAGCACTACCCACCTGGAAGGCCGTGAGCGGGTATCTGTAGTCCATGGTGAATGTGTCCTTGCCGATCTTGCCAAACTGCAGCAGCAGCACTGGCAGAGCACCGATTTTTAACCACATGAAACAGCACTTCACTACCCACCTGGAGTCAGTAAGCGGGTATCTGTTATCCATGGTGAAAGTGTCCTTGCCAATCTTCCCACACTGCAGCAGCACTGGCTTATCAGAGTCGTTCCCCGGTCCGCTCCTCTCTATGAGCTACCCTCAGCCAAACAGAGCAGCACGCACTTGGCACATGCACTACGCACCTGGAAGGCCGTAAGCGGGTATCTGTAGTCCATGGTAAAGGTGTCCTTTCCGATCTTGCCAAACTGCAGCAGCAGCACCGGCAGGGCTCCGAACCATACACACTAGCATTCAAAGAAGAAGCACCCACCTGGAAGGCAGTAAGCGGGTATCTGTAGTCCATGGTGAACGTGTCCTTGCCAATCTTCCCAAACTGCAGCAACACCTTCAGGGCACCGCACCATACACACCAGCACTTGTGCTAGAATAACACACCTGGAAGGCCGTGAGTGGATATCTGTAGTCCATAGTAAAAGCGTCCTTGTCAATCTTCCCGAACTGCAGCAGCACCGGCTTGTCCGAGTCGTTCCCCGGCCCGCCCCCCTCTATCAGCTGAAAATTCTTCACTGATGCTACTGTCACGCGGCCACGGAAGTTGAGGCACCAACACTGCAAGGGAGTACGGGAAAGGGGAGGCGGGTAGGGGGTGGGAAAGGGGGGAGCAGCACCGGCTTGTCAGAGTCGTTCCCCGGCCCGCCCCCCTCAATCAGCTGGAAGTTCTTCACTGAAGCCACTGTCACTCGCCCCCTGAAGTTCAAGCACCAGCACTGGCAGTGTGGGAGGGGGAGGGCAGGCAAGGGGAGGCAAGGGCGGGATGAGAAGGGGGCTTGTCCGAGTCGTTCCCCGCCCCCCCCCCCTCTATCAGCTGGAAATTCTTCGCAGAAGCACCCCCTGTCACTCGCCCCCTGAAGTTGAGGCACCAGCACTGGAAGCGTGTATGGGATGGACAGGAAAAGGGGATGCAAGGGAGGATTGGAAGGGCCTTATTTGAGATGCTCCCCGGCCCGCCCTCCTCTATCAGCTGGAAGTTGTTCACCGAAGCAACCGTTACTCGCCCTCTGAAGTTGAGGCACCAGCACTGGAAGGCGAGGAGGGGAGGCGAGGGGAGGGGAGGGAGCGCTCGGCCCAATGTTTCATGATAGATTTCGCTTTCTAATCTGTAATTGCCTTCCTCAATACACACACACCTGCAGCTGCGCGTGCCACCGGGGAGGCTTGTTCCTCGATACCACAGTCTCTAGGGGCGCTCGGCCCATGATAAAAAGCTTTATATTGCCCTATACTCCCATATACTCCCTTATACTCCTTTGCACTCCTCCATATCCCCTTGTATCCCCTCACCTGCAGCTGCTCGTGCCATCTGCGAGACTTGTTCCGCAACGCCATGGGCTCCAGAGGCGCTCGGCCTCATACTCCCTTGAACTACCCTGTACTCCCGTGCACCGCTTCCCACCCCCCAGCACCCACACACGTACCTGCAGCTGCTTGTGCCATCTGGGAGGCTTGTTCCGCAACACCATGGGCTCTAAGGGCGCTCGGCTTCATCTATTTCCATACGAACACCGCTTAATACTCCCCTGTACTGCTGTGCACCGCTCCTCATTCCCCAATAAACACACATACCTGCAGCTGCTCGTGCCATCTGGGTGGCTTGTTCCGCAACACCATGGGCTCTAGAGGCGCTCGGCCGATGCACCGCACACAGTCACACTCCGTACAGTCACCCTCAGTGTCACCCTCCGCATCTGCCTCTGCATTGAAAGCAGGAGGCGCAGCAGCAGGGGAAGGAGCAGCAGAAGCAGAAGGAGCAGCAGGAAGGGCGGCAGGAGACGGGGCAGACGAAGCAGCAAATGGGGGAGTCGCAGCTGCAGCAGGGAGAGAGGAAGGGGTGAATGGGGGAGTCAAGGGACCCGAGGGGAGAGAGGAGGAGGCGAACGGGGGAGTGACAGCTGCCGCAGCTCTGGCACCTGCTGCTGCTGCTTCTGGTGAAGCCACAGCTCTTGCTGCTGCTGCTTCTGGTGAAGCCACAGCTCTTGCTGCTGCTGCTTCTGACCATGCCGTTCCGCTTGCTGTTGCTGCTGATGCTGCTGCTGCTGCTGCTGTTAGTGCCGCTTCTAGTTACAATGTGGGCAAGGGCAGGGGCAGGGGCAGGGGCAGGGGCAGGGGCAGGGGCAGGGGCAGGGGCAGGGGCAGGGGCAGGGGCAGGGGCAGGGGCAGGGGCAGGGGCAGGGGCAGGGGCAAGGGCAGGGCGGCAGGGGGAAGCTCAAGGGCAGCAGGGGGAAGGAAGGGGTCCGCGGAGGCGGGGAAGGGGGAGATATGAAGGCCTTCGCTGCCGCTGCTTTCCTGGAAACCTCCGCCTTGCGTGATTTGAGTTGACTCAAAAGCCACCTGGAAACCTCCGCCTTGCAACCAACCCTGATTGCCCTCCTGCTCACTCCTTCCCTCTCCACTGCTCTCCTGCTGCTCATACGCGCCGTCTGTCGGCCAATCCCCACACTCCTCCTGCTGATTCCCCTCCTCTAAGCTCCCGTCCTCCGGACTGCTCTCCTCTTGACTCTTCTTCTCCCACTGCCCCCCTGCTTCCACACCCTCCTCTCGCATGCTCTGCTGCTCATTGCTCTCCTCCTTACCACTGCTCCCCATTCTCTCTCCCGCACCCATCTCTTCCCCACTCTCTGGGAACGAGACCAAGGGCTCTCTTGTGCAGATTGTGGGTGGTGACCTTGCTTCCCTCGCTTCCCTTGCTTCCTCCGCTGCTGTGCATTCTTGCTTCTCGCCCTCCCCCTCCTCTTCTCCACTCCCAGTGAGCCTCACCAGCAATCTCTCCTCCTCCTCCCTCTCCTCCTTCTCTTGCCTCTCCTTGGTCTCGTTCTTCCTCCTCTCCTCTCCCGTCCCCTCCTCCCTCTCTACCTCCCCTCTCTCCACTCTCTTCCCCTCCCCTCTCTCTCCCTTCCCCTCTTCCTCCCGCCCTCCCACTCTCCCTTCAGTCACTTCTTCTACAGTCACCTCCTCTCTCTCCCCCCCTCCCCACTCAAACTCACTCACAATCCCCCCCGCCTCCCCCTTCCCCCCACTGAGCCTGTATGCGCAAGAACGGGCGGCGGGAGAGGCGGAAGACAGCGCGGAAGAGGGAAGCTTCGAGCAAGGGGGGAAGGCGGAAGCGGGGAATGTGCGCGGAGGCTTGACGATACCGCTGCTGACGTGGCCGTGTCAGCGTCATTTGCGCCGTTACAATCGCCCCGACCACCAATGGCGCTGCCGCTGCCACTACTGCTGGTAATACCTGCGCCGAGTAATCCTGTCCCATCGCTACCCCTGCTACAGCTGGCGCCGCTACAGCTGGAACCGTTAAAGCTGCCCAAGTTACCGTTACACGCGACAGGGGTGCCGGCCCCTCTGCTGCCCGTGCTGCTGCTGCCACAGTTGTAACCACAATGGTGGTTACCACACCGATTGCTACAGTGGTTACAGTGGTGGTAACCGTTGGCGGAAAAAGCGGCTCCGCGGGGATGCACCTTGCGGCTGCTGCTGCTGCTTCCGCCGTGCGCCAGCGACGCCGCGCCGAGAGAAAACGCGGGCTGCACTAGGAAATGCACAGGAAATACGGTGCGGGGGGGACGGGAGGGCGGAGGGGGGGGGGGGGGGGGGGGTGAGGGTGAGGAGGGGAGGGAGAGGAATGGGGGGGCAGGCGAAACGGTAAAATTGGCGCAAATTAACGGACGCCGAGAGGAGCTTCGACAGTTTTGGGCTTGGAAGATAAATACTGCGTTACTGGGTGCAATTTTTCTCGCCTATGGCATTCGCGACAGCTTTCTTACACCCTGGGTGTCGAGCGCTATGGTAGCTGCGGCGGATCCGTCAAGACAATATACACTACGAAAGAAGAACTCCAATACTGTAGCAAATACGGGTGCGGGTTGAAGAGCCGTAAGCTTCTTCTAGAAGTCTTCACATCCAAGTTACCCCTAACTACTCAAACTCTAAAACACCTCGGTTGAAGGAGTGTAACCTTCTTAATATTGTGTGAAAAAAGTCTATTCTAAGACGACTCAAAAGTCGGTTGTAGAACTGTAACCTTCCTAACATTGTGCGATGCGAACGAACTCAGGTTTCATCGCTCACCTCGTGCGACGATTCAAAGACGGCAAATCGCGTGCTTAGGAAATTCGCTCGCAGGCGACCGACGAACGAACTTCCGCCGCGCGAAAAGTCTTTCGGATCCAGCGAGACCACGTACTCCATGCTGGAATGATTTCGAAAGTTGCGAAACAGAGCGAAACGGACACAATAGGGTGACCAGCACAAACACTTTTTCCATGCAAACGTGAATTTGCGAGACACAAACTCAGGTGTGCGATTTGAAGCGAACGAAGGCATTAGCGTAACCAGCACAAACAAGGGTTTGTTAAACGGGCAGAATAGGGCTACAAGCACAAACACCAACTCCGGTTTAGGGTCAAACGATTTTTTAAAGCAGTTGGCTATCCGCTTACCTTGACGGCCGCCAGCCGCACTTGCGCGCCGCGAGCAGGAACTTGCCGTTCTCCGTCGAATTCGGCGGCACGCCCAGAAACAGCGTGAACGTGCCGGTCTTGCGCGAGCGGCGAATGAAGCACTCCACGCAGCGGTCGCGGGTCCTTCTGTTCCCGCCCCCCCCGCTCCTCCCCCCCACCTCCTCCTCTATCTCCCTCATAGCTTCCATCAGTGGGGAATCATGCTGAAGCCTCGCCATGCCCTCCTTATAAGCACCTCTCCTTCTGTCACTCTCCTGCTCCTTCACGTGCTGCTGCTCCTGCTGCCCCTTCTTCCCCTTACCGCCCTTCTTGCCTTGCCCAGTTGCCTCATTTGAACTAGCACCACCAGCAGCAGCACCACCAGCAACAGCAGCACCACCAGTACCACTAGCACCATTGGTACTACTGTTAGCACTGCTTGGTTTAACAAACACGGGAGCTGCAATTGGGAGGTTCGGGCTTGGCATGAGCCGGGTTCGGCCCGAACCACCCGCTGCCGAACCTCCCCCACCCCCACCTTCCCCCTTTATAAGCACTTTTATCCCTGAAACCACTTCCCGCTTCATTGTTGGGATCTGGCCCCTCTCTCCTTGCTCCTTGTCTCCTTGGCCCCCCATCAGGAAGATACTGCCTACACCAGTTCTACCTCCCCCTCGCCTCCCACTCGCCCCCCCACTTGCAGCCTTTGTCTGCTTCTCAGAACCTTCCTGCCCTGGTTTGGCTCCCTCAGACCCTGCCACGACAGCTCCACCCCCTGCCACGTCAGCTCCAGGGCTATCCGCCACGAGAACCCGTCGACCAATCAGATCGAGCGGAGGAAATCTGGATTCTAGCGAAGCTCGTAGAAAACTGGATTCTAGTGAAGCTCGTAGAAATGGCTATGTCACAGCAACGAAGTAGAAGCACAGTGTTGGTCGCGAAACGCCTCACGGGAGGCTTACGCGGCCTTAACGGGGCCTCGACGAGGCCTTTACTCAACCCTGACGCGATCCTGAGGCGATTTCTGCTTCGCGTGGTCTTCACTGATCCTTCACGGGGCTTTCGCGGGCCCTACACTCGAGTGAAACAGGTTCGGCCCTTCGCAGGGCTTTGACGGGAGTCTCGCGGCTGAAATTTCCGTCACTAATGCTTGTCTAAGCCTTCACAAAGGCTTCTCCGTAGGTTTGACGCGAATCTGACGGGAGTCTCATCAAATGCTCAAAGTTTCGACCAATCAGGATTGAACACAATGTTTGAAGCGATAGAATTTCAAAGTGTTACTTCAACAACCTGGTACAACAAATATATAGGTTCAAGCAAGGTACAAAATGGGCTAGGTAACAAAACGTGTCCAACACGTTACGTGGCGCCTCGTTTCACCCCGCGTCGCACACGCAACCTTTCTCCACCTTCGTCGAACGTGCCTGAAGTCCGCATTTGGTTCCTTGCTGAACACGCCACAGTTGACCCACACAATTTCCCCCCGTCGATCACTTTCTCCTCACTTCCTCCTCGTCAATGTCTTCCTTCCATACTTCTCTTGCCGTAGCTCATACTCCCAAGCAATGTCGTAGTTTCCTCTCTAGTTCCCAAGGCACTGTCAACACGCCACCGTCAGTCCGTCTTAGTCGTCGGTCCGAATAATGAGCGCCGTCGTTAGTGTGGTTCTGCGAACCACTCCAACACACACGACTGCTCGTCCCATTTATTAGTCGGTCAGATTTGAATCAGCGTCCCGATATACCCTAACCAACGAGCCTAGGTATCAAATTGACCGTTGTAGAACCAGCTGAACCGACAATTGTCCAAGCTTTAGGAGGAATCTGGTAACCGGTTGTACCCGATACGGGCAGATGCACTTCAGCTACGGAGGTACCGTGAACTTCTACTCTGATACAAACATAAGCCACAATTTCGTTACAATACAAAGAGTACAGGAATAACAAACAAGGGCACCAGCATGACTACATCCCTGAATCAGTCATCACCATCCGTCCCTAAACACAATTGTCCAAACCTTAATAACCAACCCATATCCGAGGTACACAAAAGACAATCCCGTTCCTCCAGAGGAAACTTACCAGTACCTTTTCATCCGCAGCATTGCACCACAAAGCAGAAAAAATACACCACCACCACCACCCGCTGTATCAGCACAACGCACATGCCCTTTTCCAGTCTCCCAGATATCATCACGCTGTCTTTTTTTCATTTGTTGCCCTTGGTTGTTCCTGAGTGAGGAATCCTCTTCACGCATCATCAGTACCACACCACACCACACCATATCTAGAACGCAACGCGAAAAGCCGTCGGTGTCACTATTTCGCTCGCACGTGGATTTTGGACTCGACAAAACAACAGCTTGAAAAGCTTTCAACTGATGATGGAAGTGATGATGGAATCACTCGCACGCCACTTTGGTATCGAAACTGCTCAGGCAAATGGCAAACGCCTGCACGCATAATGTAGGGAAAACACACATGACGTGGGAACACATACAAAGCAGAAAACAATCCGTCAGACATGTGATATGAAGCAAGGAAAGCACATGTGACATGTGACATGTGGGCACGCACAAAGAAAACAGCCCAGAAGGCAAGGGGAAGAGAACACGGGGAGACGGGAGATGGGGAAAGCGTATTGACACGATACCCAAAGACAAACCTGAGGAAACACCTGGCCGTCCACACTTACCTGGAAGGCCGTGAGTGGATATCTGTAGTCCATGGTGAATGTGTCCTTGCCAATCTTCCCAACTGCAGCAACACCGGCTTGCATGCGTATCAATACCTGAAAGGAAACTTCACCCTGAACACGCAGCACTACCCACCTGGAAGGCCGTGAGCGGGTATCTGTAGTCCATGGTGAATGTGTCCTTGCCGATCTTGCCAAACTGCAGCAGCAGCACTGGCAGAGCACCGATTTTTAACCACATGAAACAGCACTTCACTACCCACCTGGAGTCAGTAAGCGGGTATCTGTTATCCATGGTGAAAGTGTCCTTGCCAATCTTCCCACACTGCAGCAGCACTGGCTTATCAGAGTCGTTCCCCGGTCCGCTCCTCTCTATGAGCTACCCTCAGCCAAACAGAGCAGCACGCACTTGGCACATGCACTACGCACCTGGAAGGCCGTAAGCGGGTATCTGTAGTCCATGGTAAAGGTGTCCTTTCCGATCTTGCCAAACTGCAGCAGCAGCACCGGCAGGGCTCCGAACCATACACACTAGCATTCAAAGAAGAAGCACCCACCTGGAAGGCAGTAAGCGGGTATCTGTAGTCCATGGTGAACGTGTCCTTGCCAATCTTCCCAAACTGCAGCAACACCTTCAGGGCACCGCACCATACACACCAGCACTTGTGCTAGAATAACACACCTGGAAGGCCGTGAGTGGATATCTGTAGTCCATAGTAAAAGCGTCCTTGTCAATCTTCCCGAACTGCAGCAGCACCGGCTTGTCCGAGTCGTTCCCCGGCCCGCCCCCCTCTATCAGCTGAAAATTCTTCACTGATGCTACTGTCACGCGGCCACGGAAGTTGAGGCACCAACACTGCAAGGGAGTACGGGAAAGGGGAGGCGGGTAGGGGGTGGGAAAGGGGGGAGCAGCACCGGCTTGTCAGAGTCGTTCCCCGGCCCGCCCCCCTCGATCAGCTGGAAGTTCTTCACTGAAGCCACTGTCACTCGTCCCCTGAAGTTCAAGCACCAGCACTGGCAGTGTGGGAGGGGGAGGGCAGGCAAGGGGAGGCAAGGGCGGGATGAGAAGGGGGCTTGTCCGAGTCGTTCCCCGCCCCCCCCCCCCCCTCTATCAGCTGGAAATTCTTCACAGAAGCACCCCCTGTCACTCGCCCCCTGAAGTTGAGGCACCAGCACTGGAAGCGTGTATGGGATGGACAGGAAAAGGGGATGCAAGGGAGGATTGGAAGGGCCTTATTTGAGATGCTCCCCGGCCCACCCTCCTCTATCAGCTGGAAGTTGTTCACCGAAGCAACCGTTACTCGCCCTCTGAAGTTGAGGCACCAGCACTGGAAGGCGAGGAGGGGAGGCGAGGGGAGGGGAGGGAGCGCTCGGCCCAATGTTTCATGATAGATTTCGCTTTCTAATCTGTAATTGCCTTCCTCAATACACACACACCTGCAGCTGCGCGTGCCACCGGGGAGGCTTGTTCCTCGATACCACAGTCTCTAGGGGCGCTCGGCCCATGATAAAAAGCTTTATATTGCCCTATACTCCCATATACTCCCTTATACTCCTTTGCACTCCTCCATATCCCCTTGTATCCCCTCACCTGCAGCTGCTCGTGCCATCTGCGAGACTTGTTCCGCAACGCCATGGGCTCCAGAGGCGCTCGGCCTCATACTCCCTTGAACTACCCTGTACTCCCGTGCACCGCTTCCCACCCCCCAGCACCCACACACATACCTGCAGCTGCTCGTGCCATCTGGGAGGCTTGTTCCGCAACACCATGGGCTCTAAGGGCGCTCGGCTTCATCTATTTCCATACGAACACCGCTTAATACTCCCCTGTACTGCTGTGCACCGCTCCTCATTCCCCAATAAACACACATACCTGCAGCTGCTCGTGCCATCTGGGTGGCTTGTTCCGCAACACCATGGGCTCTAGAGGCGCTCGGCCGATGCACCGCACACAGTCACACTCCGTACAGTCACCCTCAGTGTCACCCTCCGCATCTGCCTCTGCATTGAAAGCAGGAGGCGCAGCAGCAGGGGAAGGAGCAGCAGAAGCAGAAGGAGCAGCAGGAAGGGCGGCAGGAGACGGGGCAGACGAAGCAGCAAATGGGGGAGTCGCAGCTGCAGCAGGGAGAGAGGAAGGGGTGAATGGGGGAGTCAAGGGACCCGAGGGGAGAGAGGAGGAGGCGAACGGGGGAGTGACAGCCGCCGCAGCTCTGGCACCTGCTGCTGCTGCTTCTGGTGAAGCCACAGCTCTTGCTGCTGCTGCTTCTGGTGAAGCCACAGCTCTTGCTGCTGCTGCTTCTGACCATGCCGTTCCGCTTGCTGTTGCTGCTGATGCTGCTGCTGCTGCTGCTGTTAGTGCCGCTTCTAGTTCCAATGTGGGCAAGGGCAGGGGCAGGGGCAGGGGCAGGGGCAGGGGCAGGGGCAGGGGCAGGGGCAGGGGCAGGGGCAGGGGCAGGGGCAGGGGCAAGGGCAGGGCGGCAGGGGGAAGCTCAAGGGCAGCAGGGGGAAGGAAGGGGTCCGCGGAGGCGGGGAAGGGGGAGATATGAAGGCCTTCGCTGCCGCTGCTTTCCTGGAAACCTCCGCCTTGCGTGATTTGAGTTGACTCAAAAGCCACCTGGAAACCTCCGCCTTGCAACCAACCCTGATTGCCCTCCTGCTCACTCCTTCCCTCTCCACTGCTCTCCTGCTGCTCACACGCGCCGTCTGTCGGCCAATCCCCACACTCCTCCTGCTGATTCCCCTCCTCTAAACTCCCGTCCTCCGGACTGCTCTCCTCTTGACTCTTCTTCTCCCACTGCCCCCCTGCTTCCACACCCTCCTCTCGCATGCTCTGCTGCTCATTGCTCTCCTCCTTACCACTGCTCCCCATTCTCTCTCCCGCACCCATCTCTTCCCCACTCTCTGGGAACGAGACCAAGGGCTCTCTTGTGCAGATTGTGGGTGGTGACCTTGCTTCCCTCGCTTCCCTTGCTTCCTCCGCTGCTGTGCATTCTTGCTTCTCGCCCTCCCCCTCCTCTTCTCCACTCCCAGTGAGCCTCACCAGCAATCTCTCCTCCTCCTCCCTCTCCTCCTTCTCTTGCCTCTCCTCGGTCTCGTTCTTCCTCCTCTCCTCTCCCGTCCCCTCCTCCCTCTCTACCTCCCCTCTCTCCACTCTCTTCCCCTCCCCTCTCTCTCCCTTCCCCTCTTCCTCCCGCCCTCCCACTCTCCCTTCAGTCACTTCTTCTACAGTCACCTCCTCTCTCTCCCCCCCTCCCCACTCAAACTCACTCACAATCCCCCCCGCCTCCCCCTTCCCCCCACTGAGCCTGTATGCGCAAGAACGGGCAGGCGGGAGAGGCGGAAGACAGCGCGGAAGAGGGAAGCTTCGAGCAAGGGGGGAAGGCGGAAGCGGGGAATGTGCGCGGAGGCTTGACGATACCGCTGCTGACGTGGCCGTGTCAGCGTCATTTGCGCCGTTACAATCGCCCCGACCACCAATGGCGCTGCCGCTGCCACTACTGCTGGTAATACCTGCGCCGAGTAATCCTGTCCCGTCGCTACCCCTGCTACAGCTGGCGCCGCTACAGCTGGAACCGTTAAAGCTGCCCAAGTTACCGTTACACGCGACAGGGGTGCCGGCCCCTCTGCTGCCCGTGCTGCTGCTGCCACAGTTGTAACCACAATGGTGGTTACCACACCGATTGCTACAGTGGTTACAGTGGTGGTAACCGTTGGCGGAAAAAGCGGCTCCGCGGGGATGCACCTTGCGGCTGCTGCTGCTGCTTCCGCCGTGCGCCAGCGACGCCGCGCCGAGAGAAAACGCGGGCTGCACGAGGAAATGCGCAGGAAATGCGGCGCGGGGGGGACGGGAGGGCGGAGGGGGGGGGGGGGGGGGGGGTGAGGGTGAGGAGGGGAGGGAGAGGAATGGGGGGGCAGGCGAAACGGTAAAATTGGCGCAAATTAACGGACGCCGAGAGGAGCTTCGACAGTTTTGGGCTTGGAAGATAAATACTGCGTTACTGGGTGCAATTTTTCTCGCCTATGGCATTCGCGACAGCTTTCTTACACCCTGGGTGTCGAGCGCTATGGTAGCTGCGGCGGATCCGTCAAGACAATATACACTACGAAAGAAGAACTCCAATACTGTAGCAAATACGGGTGCGGGTTGAAGAGCCGTAAGCTTCTTCTAGAAGTCTTCACATCCAAGTTACCCCTAACTACTCAAACTCTAAAACACCTCGGTTGAAGGAGTGTAACCTTCTTAATATTGTGTGAAAAAAGTCTATTCTAAGACGACTCAAAAGTCGGTTGTAGAACTGTAACCTTCCTAACATTGTGCGATGCGAACGAACTCAGGTTTCATCGCTCACCTCGTGCGACGATTCAAAGACGGCAAATCGCGTGCTTAGGAAATTCGCTCGCAGGCGACCGACGAACGAACTTCCGCCGCGCGAAAAGTCTTTCGGATCCAGCGAGACCACGTACTCCATGCTGGAATGATTTCGAAAGTTGCGAAACAGAGCGAAACGGACACAATAGGGTGACCAGCACAAACACTTTTTCCATGCAAACGTGAATTTGCGAGACACAAACTCAGGTGTGCGATTTGAAGCGAACGAAGGCATTAGCGTAACCAGCACAAACAAGGGTTTGTTAAACGGGCAGAATAGGGCTACAAGCACAAACACCAACTCCGGTTTAGGGTCAAACGATTTTTTAAAGCAGTCGGCTATCCGCTTACCTTGACGGCCGCCAGCCGCACTTGCGCGCCGCGAGCAGGAACCTTGCCGTTCTCCGTCGAATTCGGCGGCACGCCCAGAAACAGCGTGAACGTGCCGGTCTTGCGCGAGCGGCGAATGAAGCACTCCACGCAGCGGTCGCGGGTCCTTCTGTTCCCGCCCCCCCCGCTCCTCCCCCCCACCTCCTCCTCTATCTCCCTCATAGCTTCCATCAGTGGGGAATCATGCTGAAGCCTCGCCATGCCCTCCTTATAAGCACCTCTCCTTCTGTCACTCTCCTGCTCCTTCACGTGCTGCTGCTCCTGCTGCCCCTTCTTCCCCTTACCGCCCTTCTTGCCTTGCCCAGTTGCCTCATTTGAACTAGCACCACCAGCAGCAGCACCACCAGCAACAGCAGCACCACCAGTACCACTAGCACCATTGGTACTACTGTTAGCACTGCTTGGTTTAACAAACACGGGAGCTGCAATTGGGAGGTTCGGGCTTGGCATGAGCCGGGTTCGGCCCGAACCACCCGCTGCCGAACCTCCCCCACCCCCACCTTCCCCCTTTATAAGCACTTTTATCCCTGAAACCACTTCCCGCTTCATTGTTGGGATCTGGCCCCTCTCTCCTTGCTCCTTGTCTCCTTGGCCCCCCATCAGGAAGATACTGCCTACACCAGTTCTACCTCCCCCTCGCCTCCCACTCGCCCCCCCACTTGCAGCCTTTGTCTGCTTCTCAGAACCTTCCTGCCCTGGTTTGGCTCCCTCAGACCCTGCCACGACAGCTCCACCCCCTGCCACGTCAGCTCCAGGGCTATCCGCCACGAGAACCCGTCGATCAATCAGATCGAGCGGAGGAAAACTGGATTCTAGCGAAGCTCGTAGAAAACTGGATTCTAGTGAAGCTCGTAGAAATGGCTATGTCACAGCAACGAAGTAGAAGCACAGTGTTGGTCGCGAAACGCCTCACGGGAGGCTTACGCGGCCTTAACGGGGCCTCGACGAGGCCTTTACTCAACCCTGACGCGATCCTGAGGCGATTTCTGCTTCGCGTGGTCTTCACTGATCCTTCACGGGGCTTTCGCGGGCCCTACACTCGAGTGAAACAGGTTCGGCCCTTCGCAGGGCTTTGACGGGAGTCTCGCGGCTGAAATTTCCGTCACTAATGCTTGTCTAAGCCTTCACAAAGGCTTCTCCGTAGGTTTGACGCGAATCTGATGGGAGTCTCATCAAATGCTCAAAGTTTCGACCAATCAGGATTGAACACAATGTTTGAAGCGATAGAATTTCAAAGTGTTACTTCAACAACCTGGTACAACAAATATTTAGGTTCAAGCAAGGTACAAAATGGGCTAGGTAACAAAACGTGTCCAACACGTTACGTGGCGCCTCGTTTCACCCCGCGTCGCACACGCAACCTTTCTCCACCTTCGTCGAACGCGCCTGAAGTCCGCATTTGGTTCCTTGCTGAACACGCCACAGTTGACCCACACAATTTCCCCCCGTCGATCACTTTCTCCTCACTTCCTCCTCGTCAATGTCTTCCTTCCATACTTCTCTTGCCGTAGCTCATACTCCCAAGCAATGTCGTAGTTTCCTCTCTAGTTCCCAAGGCACTGTCAACACGCCACCGTCAGTCCGTCTTAGTCGTCGGTCCGAATAATGAGCGCCGTCGTTAGTGTGGTTCTGCGAACCACTCCAACACACACGACTGCTCGTCCCATTTATTAGTCGGTCAGATTTGAATCAGCGTCCCGATATACCCTAACCAACCAGCCTAGGTATCAAATTGACCGTTGTAGAACCAGCTGAACCGACAATTGTCCAAGCTTTAGGAGGAATCTGGTAACCGGTTGTACCCGATACGGGCAGATGCACTTCAGCTACGGAGGTACCGTGAACTTCTACTCTGATACAAACATAAGCCACAATTTCGTTACAATACAAAGAGTACAGGAATAACAAACAAGGGCACCAGCATGACTACATCCCTGAATCAGTCATCACCATCCGTCCCTAAACACAATTGTCCAAACCTTAATAACCAACCCATATCCGAGGTACACAAAAGACAATCCCGTTCCTCCAGAGGAAACTTACCAGTACCTTTTCATCCGCAGCATTGCACCACAAAGCAGAAAAAATACACCACCACCACCACCCGCTGTATCAGCACAACGCACATGCCCTTTTCCAGTCTCCCAGATATCATCACGCTGTCTTTTTTTCATTTGTTGCCCTTGGTTGTTCCTGAGTGAGGAATCCTCTTCACGCATCATCAGTACCACACCACACCACACCATATCTAGAACGCAACGCGAAAAGCCGTCGGTGTCACTATTTCGCTCGCACGTGGATTTTGGACTCGACAAAACAACAGCTTGAAAAGCTTTCAACTGATGATGGAAGTGATGATGGAATCACTCGCACGCCACTTTGGTATCGAAACTGCTCAGGCAAATGGCAAACGCCTGCACGCATAATGTAGGGAAAACACACATGACGTGGGAACACATACAAAGCAGAAAACAATCCGTCAGACATGTGATATGAAGCAAGGAAAGCACATGTGACATGTGACATGTGGGCACGCACAAAGAAAACAGCCCAGAAGGCAAGGGGAAGAGAACACGGGGAGACGGGAGATGGGGAAAGCGTATTGACACGATACCCAAAGACAAACCTGAGGAAACACCTGGCCGTCCACACTTACCTGGAAGGCCGTGAGTGGATATCTGTAGTCCATGGTGAATGTGTCCTTGCCAATCTTCCCAACTGCAGCAACACCGGCTTGCATGCGTATCAATACCTGAAAGGAAACTCACCCTGAACACGCAGCACTACCCACCTGGAAGGCCGTGAGCGGGTATCTGTAGTCCATGGTGAATGTGTCCTTGCCGATCTTGCCAAACTGCAGCAGCAGCACTGGCAGAGCACCGATTTTTAACCACATGAAACAGCACTTCACTACCCACCTGGAGTCAGTAAGCGGGTATCTGTTATCCATGGTGAAAGTGTCCTTGCCAATCTTCCCACACTGCAGCAGCACTGGCTTATCAGAGTCGTTCCCCGGTCCGCTCCTCTCTATGAGCTACCCTCAGCCAAACAGAGCAGCACGCACTTGGCACATGCACTACGCACCTGGAAGGCCGTAAGCGGGTATCTGTAGTCCATGGTAAAGGTGTCCTTTCCGATCTTGCCAAACTGCAGCAGCAGCACCGGCAGGGCTCCGAACCATACACACTAGCATTCAAAGAAGAAGCACCCACCTGGAAGGCAGTAAGCGGGTATCTGTAGTCCATGGTGAACGTGTCCTTGCCAATCTTCCCAAACTGCAGCAACACCTTCAGGGCACCGCACCATACACACCAGCACTTGTGCTAGAATAACACACCTGGAAGGCCGTGAGTGGATATCTGTAGTCCATAGTAAAAGCGTCCTTGTCAATCTTCCCGAACTGCAGCAGCACCGGCTTGTCCGAGTCGTTCCCCGGCCCGCCCCCCTCTATCAGCTGAAAATTCTTCACTGATGCTACTGTCACGCGGCCACGGAAGTTGAGGCACCAACACTGCAAGGGAGTACGGGAAAGGGGAGGCGGGTAGGGGGTGGGAAAGGGGGGAGCAGCACCGGCTTGTCAGAGTCGTTCCCCGGCCCGCCCCCCTCGATCAGCTGGAAGTTCTTCACTGAAGCCACTGTCACTCGCCCCCTGAAGTTCAAGCACCAGCACTGGCAGTGTGGGAGGGGGAGGGCAGGCAAGGGGAGGCAAGGGCGGGATGAGAAGGGGGCTTGTCCGAGTCGTTCCCCGCCCCCCCCCCCCCTCTATCAGCTGGAAATTCTTCACAGAAGCACCCCCTGTCACTCGCCCCCTGAAGTTGAGGCACCAGCACTGGAAGCGTGTATGGGATGGACAGGAAAAGGGGATGCAAGGGAGGATTGGAAGGGCCTTATTTGAGATGCTCCCCGGCCCACCCTCCTCTATCAGCTGGAAGTTGTTCACCGAAGCAACCGTTACTCGCCCTCTGAAGTTGAGGCACCAGCACTGGAAGGCGAGGAGGGGAGGCGAGGGGAGGGGAGGGAGCGCTCGGCCCAATGTTTCATGATAGATTTCGCTTTCTAATCTGTAATTGCCTTCCTCAATACACACACACCTGCAGCTGCGCGTGCCACCGGGGAGGCTTGTTCCTCGATACCACAGTCTCTAGGGGCGCTCGGCCCATGATAAAAAGCTTTATATTGCCCTATACTCCCATATACTCCCTTATACTCCTTTGCACTCCTCCATATCCCCTTGTATCCCCTCACCTGCAGCTGCTCGTGCCATCTGCGAGACTTGTTCCGCAACGCCATGGGCTCCAGAGGCGCTCGGCCTCATACTCCCTTGAACTACCCTGTACTCCCGTGCACCGCTTCCCACCCCCCAGCACCCACACACATACCTGCAGCTGCTCGTGCCATCTGGGAGGCTTGTTCCGCAACACCATGGGCTCTAAGGGCGCTCGGCTTCATCTATTTCCATACGAACACCGCTTAATACTCCCCTGTACTGCTGTGCACCGCTCCTCATTCCCCAATAAACACACATACCTGCAGCTGCTCGTGCCATCTGGGTGGCTTGTTCCGCAACACCATGGGCTCTAGAGGCGCTCGGCCGATGCACCGCACACAGTCACACTCCGTACAGTCACCCTCAGTGTCACCCTCCGCATCTGCCTCTGCATTGAAAGCAGGAGGCGCAGCAGCAGGGGAAGGAGCAGCAGAAGCAGAAGGAGCAGCAGGAAGGGCGGCAGGAGACGGGGCAGACGAAGCAGCAAATGGGGGAGTCGCAGCTGCAGCAGGGAGAGAGGAAGGGGTGAATGGGGGAGTCAAGGGACCCGAGGGGAGAGAGGAGGAGGCGAACGGGGGAGTGACAGCCGCCGCAGCTCTGGCACCTGCTGCTGCTGCTTCTGGTGAAGCCACAGCTCTTGCTGCTGCTGCTTCTGGTGAAGCCACAGCTCTTGCTGCTGCTGCTTCTGACCATGCCGTTCCGCTTGCTGTTGCTGCTGATGCTGCTGCTGCTGCTGCTGCTGTTAGTGCCGCTTCTAGTTCCAATGTGGGCAAGGGCAGGGGCAGGGGCAGGGGCAGGGGCAGGGGCAGGGGCAGGGGCAAGGGCAGGGCGGCAGGGGGAAGCTCAAGGGCAGCAGGGGGAAGGAAGGGGTCCGCGGAGGCGGGGAAGGGGGAGATATGAAGGCCTTCGCTGCCGCTGCTTTCCTGGAAACCTCCGCCTTGCGTGATTTGAGTTGACTCAAAAGCCACCTGGAAACCTCCGCCTTGCAACCAACCCTGATTGCCCTCCTGCTCACTCCTTCCCTCTCCACTGCTCTCCTGCTGCTCACACGCGCCGTCTGTCGGCCAATCCCCACACTCCTCCTGCTGATTCCCCTCCTCTAAACTCCCGTCCTCCGGACTGCTCTCCTCTTGACTCTTCTTCTCCCACTGCCCCCCTGCTTCCACACCCTCCTCTCGCATGCTCTGCTGCTCATTGCTCTCCTCCTTACCACTGCTCCCCATTCTCTCTCCCGCACCCATCTCTTCCCCACTCTCTGGGAACGAGACCAAGGGCTCTCTTGTGCAGATTGTGGGTGGTGACCTTGCTTCCCTCGCTTCCCTTGCTTCCTCCGCTGCTGTGCATTCTTGCTTCTCGCCCTCCCCCTCCTCTTCTCCACTCCCAGTGAGCCTCACCAGCAATCTCTCCTCCTCCTCCCTCTCCTCCTTCTCTTGCCTCTCCTCGGTCTCGTTCTTCCTCCTCTCCTCTCCCGTCCCCTCCTCCCTCTCTACCTCCCCTCTCTCCACTCTCTTCCCCTCCCCTCTCTCTCCCTTCCCCTCTTCCTCCCGCCCTCCCACTCTCCCTTCAGTCACTTCTTCTACAGTCACCTCCTCTCTCTCCCCCCCTCCCCACTCAAACTCACTCACAATCCCCCCCGCCTCCCCCTTCCCCCCACTGAGCCTGTATGCGCAAGAACGGGCGGCGGGAGAGGCGGAAGACAGCGCGGAAGAGGGAAGCTTCGAGCAAGGGGGGAAGGCGGAAGCGGGGAATGTGCGCGGAGGCTTGACGATACCGCTGCTGACGTGGCCGTGTCAGCGTCATTTGCGCCGTTACAATCGCCCCGACCACCAATGGCGCTGCCGCTGCCACTACTGCTGGTAATACCTGCGCCGAGTAATCCTGTCCCGTCGCTACCCCTGCTACAGCTGGCGCCGCTACAGCTGGAACCGTTAAAGCTGCCCAAGTTACCGTTACACGCGACAGGGGTGCCGGCCCCTCTGCTGCCCGTGCTGCTGCTGCCACAGTTGTAACCACAATGGTGGTTACCACACCGATTGCTACAGTGGTTACAGTGGTGGTAACCGTTGGCGGAAAAAGCGGCTCCGCGGGGATGCACCTTGCGGCTGCTGCTGCTGCTTCCGCCGTGCGCCAGCGACGCCGCGCCGAGAGAAAACGCGGGCTGCACGAGGAAATGCGCAGGAAATGCGGCGCGGGGGGGACGGGAGGGCGGAGGGGGGGGGGGGGGGGGGGGGGGTGAGGGTGAGGAGGGGAGGGAGAGGAATGGGGGGGCAGGCGAAACGGTAAAATTGGCGCAAATTAACGGACGCCGAGAGGAGCTTCGACAGTTTTGGGCTTGGAAGATAAATACTGCGTTACTGGGTGCAATTTTTCTCGCCTATGGCATTCGCGACAGCTTTCTTACACCCTGGGTGTCGAGCGCTATGGTAGCTGCGGCGGATCCGTCAAGACAATATACACTACGAAAGAAGAACTCCAATACTGTAGCAAATACGGGTGCGGGTTGAAGAGCCGTAAGCTTCTTCTAGAAGTCTTCACATCCAAGTTACCCCTAACTACTCAAACTCTAAAACACCTCGGTTGAAGGAGTGTAACCTTCTTAATATTGTGTGAAAAAAGTCTATTCTAAGACGACTCAAAAGTCGGTTGTAGAACTGTAACCTTCCTAACATTGTGCGATGCGAACGAACTCAGGTTTCATCGCTCACCTCGTGCGACGATTCAAAGACGGCAAATCGCGTGCTTAGGAAATTCGCTCGCAGGCGACCGACGAACGAACTTCCGCCGCGCGAAAAGTCTTTCGGATCCAGCGAGACCACGTACTCCATGCTGGAATGATTTCGAAAGTTGCGAAACAGAGCGAAACGGACACAATAGGGTGACCAGCACAAACACTTTTTCCATGCAAACGTGAATTTGCGAGACACAAACTCAGGTGTGCGATTTGAAGCGAACGAAGGCATTAGCGTAACCAGCACAAACAAGGGTTTGTTAAACGGGCAGAATAGGGCTACAAGCACAAACACCAACTCCGGTTTAGGGTCAAACGATTTTTTAAAGCAGTCGGCTATCCGCTTACCTTGACGGCCGCCAGCCGCACTTGCGCGCCGCGAGCAGGAACTTGCCGTTCTCCGTCGAATTCGGCGGCACGCCCAGAAACAGCGTGAACGTGCCGGTCTTGCGCGAGCGGCGAATGAAGCACTCCACGCAGCGGTCGCGGGTCCTTCTGTTCCCGCCCCCCCCGCTCCTCCCCCCCACCTCCTCCTCTATCTCCCTCATAGCTTCCATCAGTGGGGAATCATGCTGAAGCCTCGCCATGCCCTCCTTATAAGCACCTCTCCTTCTGTCACTCTCCTGCTCCTTCACGTGCTGCTGCTCCTGCTGCCCCTTCTTCCCCTTACCGCCCTTCTTGCCTTGCCCAGTTGCCTCATTTGAACTAGCACCACCAGCAGCAGCACCACCAGCAACAGCAGCACCACCAGTACCACTAGCACCATTGGTACTACTGTTAGCACTGCTTGGTTTAACAAACACGGGAGCTGCAATTGGGAGGTTCGGGCTTGGCATGAGCCGGGTTCGGCCCGAACCACCCGCTGCCGAACCTCCCCCACCCCCACCTTCCCCCTTTATAAGCACTTTTATCCCTGAAACCACTTCCCGCTTCATTGTTGGGATCTGGCCCCTCTCTCCTTGCTCCTTGTCTCCTTGGCCCCCCATCAGGAAGATACTGCCTACACCAGTTCTACCTCCCCCTCGCCTCCCACTCGCCCCCCCACTTGCAGCCTTTGTCTGCTTCTCAGAACCTTCCTGCCCTGGTTTGGCTCCCTCAGACCCTGCCACGACAGCTCCACCCCCTGCCACGTCAGCTCCAGGGCTATCCGCCACGAGAACCCGTCGACCAATCAGATCGAGCGGAGGAAAACTGGATTCTAGCGAAGCTCGTAGAAAACTGGATTCTAGTGAAGCTCGTAGAAATGGCTATGTCACAGCAACGAAGTAGAAGCACAGTGTTGGTCGCGAAACGCCTCACGGGAGGCTTACGCGGCCTTAACGGGGCCTCGACGAGGCCTTTACTCAACCCTGACGCGATCCTGAGGCGATTTCTGCTTCGCGTGGTCTTCACTGATCCTTCACGGGGCTTTCGCGGGCCCTACACTCGAGTGAAACAGGTTCGGCCCTTCGCAGGGCTTTGACGGGAGTCTCGCGGCTGAAATTTCCGTCACTAATGCTTGTCTAAGCCTTCACAAAGGCTTCTCCGTAGGTTTGACGCGAATCTGACGGGAGTCTCATCAAATGCTCAAAGTTTCGACCAATCAGGATTGAACACAATGTTTGAAGCGATAGAATTTCAAAGTGTTACTTCAACAACCTGGTACAACAAATATATAGGTTCAAGCAAGGTACAAAATGGGCTAGGTAACAAAACGTGTCCAACACGTTACGTGGCGCCTCGTTTCACCCCGCGTCGCACACGCAACCTTTCTCCACCTTCGTCGAACGCGCCTGAAGTCCGCATTTGGTTCCTTGCTGAACACGCCACAGTTGACCCACACAATTTCCCCCCGTCGATCACTTTCTCCTCACTTCCTCCTCGTCAATGTCTTCCTTCCATACTTCTCTTGCCGTAGCTCATACTCCCAAGCAATGTCGTAGTTTCCTCTCTAGTTCCCAAGGCACTGTCAACACGCCACCGTCAGTCCGTCTTAGTCGTCGGTCCGAATAATGAGCGCCGTCGTTAGTGTGGTTCTGCGAACCACTCCAACACACACGACTGCTCGTCCCATTTATTAGTCGGTCAGATTTGAATCAGCGTCCCGATATACCCTAACCAACCAGCCTAGGTATCAAATTGACCGTTGTAGAACCAGCTGAACCGACAATTGTCCAAGCTTTAGGAGGAATCTGGTAACCGGTTGTACCCGATACGGGCAGATGCACTTCAGCTACGGAGGTACCGTGAACTTCTACTCTGATACAAACATAAGCCACAATTTCGTTACAATACAAAGAGTACAGGAATAACAAACAAGGGCACCAGCATGACTACATCCCTGAATCAGTCATCACCATCCGTCCCTAAACACAATTGTCCAAACCTTAATAACCAACCCATATCCGAGGTACACAAAAGACAATCCCGTTCCTCCAGAGGAAACTTACCAGTACCTTTTCATCCGCAGCATTGCACCACAAAGCAGAAAAAATACACCACCACCACCACCCGCTGTATCAGCACAACGCACATGCCCTTTTCCAGTCTCCCAGATATCATCACGCTGTCTTTTTTTCATTTGTTGCCCTTGGTTGTTCCTGAGTGAGGAATCCTCTTCACGCATCATCAGTACCACACCACACCACACCATATCTAGAACGCAACGCGAAAAGCCGTCGGTGTCACTATTTCGCTCGCACGTGGATTTTGGACTCGACAAAACAACAGCTTGAAAAGCTTTCAACTGATGATGGAAGTGATGATGGAATCACTCGCACGCCACTTTGGTATCGAAACTGCTCAGGCAAATGGCAAACGCCTGCACGCATAATGTAGGGAAAACACACATGACGTGGGAACACATACAAAGCAGAAAACAATCCGTCAGACATGTGATATGAAGCAAGGAAAGCACATGTGACATGTGACATGTGGGCACGCACAAAGAAAACAGCCCAGAAGGCAAGGGGAAGAGAACACGGGGAGACGGGAGATGGGGAAAGCGTATTGACACGATACCCAAAGACAAACCTGAGGAAACACCTGGCCGTCCACACTTACCTGGAAGGCCGTGAGTGGATATCTGTAGTCCATGGTGAATGTGTCCTTGCCAATCTTCCCAACTGCAGCAACACCGGCTTGCATGCGTATCAATACCTGAAAGGAAACTCACCCTGAACACGCAGCACTACCCACCTGGAAGGCCGTGAGCGGGTATCTGTAGTCCATGGTGAATGTGTCCTTGCCGATCTTGCCAAACTGCAGCAGCAGCACTGGCAGAGCACCGATTTTTAACCACATGAAACAGCACTTCACTACCCACCTGGAGTCAGTAAGCGGGTATCTGTTATCCATGGTGAAAGTGTCCTTGCCAATCTTCCCACACTGCAGCAGCACTGGCTTATCAGAGTCGTTCCCCGGTCCGCTCCTCTCTATGAGCTACCCTCAGCCAAACAGAGCAGCACGCACTTGGCACATGCACTACGCACCTGGAAGGCCGTAAGCGGGTATCTGTAGTCCATGGTAAAGGTGTCCTTTCCGATCTTGCCAAACTGCAGCAGCAGCACCGGCAGGGCTCCGAACCATACACACTAGCATTCAAAGAAGAAGCACCCACCTGGAAGGCAGTAAGCGGGTATCTGTAGTCCATGGTGAACGTGTCCTTGCCAATCTTCCCAAACTGCAGCAACACCTTCAGGGCACCGCACCATACACACCAGCACTTGTGCTAGAATAACACACCTGGAAGGCCGTGAGTGGATATCTGTAGTCCATAGTAAAAGCGTCCTTGTCAATCTTCCCGAACTGCAGCAGCACCGGCTTGTCCGAGTCGTTCCCCGGCCCGCCCCCCTCTATCAGCTGAAAATTCTTCACTGATGCTACTGTCACGCGGCCACGGAAGTTGAGGCACCAACACTGCAAGGGAGTACGGGAAAGGGGAGGCGGGTAGGGGGTGGGAAAGGGGGGAGCAGCACCGGCTTGTCAGAGTCGTTCCCCGGCCCGCCCCCCTCGATCAGCTGGAAGTTCTTCACTGAAGCCACTGTCACTCGCCCCCTGAAGTTCAAGCACCAGCACTGGCAGTGTGGGAGGGGGAGGGCAGGCAAGGGGAGGCAAGGGCGGGATGAGAAGGGGGCTTGTCCGAGTCGTTCCCCGCCCCCCCCCCCCCCTCTATCAGCTGGAAATTCTTCACAGAAGCACCCCCTGTCACTCGCCCCCTGAAGTTGAGGCACCAGCACTGGAAGCGTGTATGGGATGGACAGGAAAAGGGGATGCAAGGGAGGATTGGAAGGGCCTTATTTGAGATGCTCCCCGGCCCACCCTCCTCTATCAGCTGGAAGTTGTTCACCGAAGCAACCGTTACTCGCCCTCTGAAGTTGAGGCACCAGCACTGGAAGGCGAGGAGGGGAGGCGAGGGGAGGGGAGGGAGCGCTCGGCCCAATGTTTCATGATAGATTTCGCTTTCTAATCTGTAATTGCCTTCCTCAATACACACACACCTGCAGCTGCGCGTGCCACCGGGGAGGCTTGTTCCTCGATACCACAGTCTCTAGGGGCGCTCGGCCCATGATAAAAAGCTTTATATTGCCCTATACTCCCATATACTCCCTTATACTCCTTTGCACTCCTCCATATCCCCTTGTATCCCCTCACCTGCAGCTGCTCGTGCCATCTGCGAGACTTGTTCCGCAACGCCATGGGCTCCAGAGGCGCTCGGCCTCATACTCCCTTGAACTACCCTGTACTCCCGTGCACCGCTTCCCACCCCCCAGCACCCACACACATACCTGCAGCTGCTCGTGCCATCTGGGAGGCTTGTTCCGCAACACCATGGGCTCTAAGGGCGCTCGGCTTCATCTATTTCCATACGAACACCGCTTAATACTCCCCTGTACTGCTGTGCACCGCTCCTCATTCCCCAATAAACACACATACCTGCAGCTGCTCGTGCCATCTGGGTGGCTTGTTCCGCAACACCATGGGCTCTAGAGGCGCTCGGCCGATGCACCGCACACAGTCACACTCCGTACAGTCACCCTCAGTGTCACCCTCCGCATCTGCCTCTGCATTGAAAGCAGGAGGCGCAGCAGCAGGGGAAGGAGCAGCAGAAGCAGAAGGAGCAGCAGGAAGGGCGGCAGGAGACGGGGCAGACGAAGCAGCAAATGGGGGAGTCGCAGCTGCAGCAGGGAGAGAGGAAGGGGTGAATGGGGGAGTCAAGGGACCCGAGGGGAGAGAGGAGGAGGCGAACGGGGGAGTGACAGCCGCCGCAGCTCTGGCACCTGCTGCTGCTGCTTCTGGTGAAGCCACAGCTCTTGCTGCTGCTGCTTCTGGTGAAGCCACAGCTCTTGCTGCTGCTGCTTCTGACCATGCCGTTCCGCTTGCTGTTGCTGCTGATGCTGCTGCTGCTGCTGCTGCTGTTAGTGCCGCTTCTAGTTCCAATGTGGGCAAGGGCAGGGGCAGGGGCAGGGGCAGGGGCAGGGGCAGGGGCAGGGGCAAGGGCAGGGCGGCAGGGGGAAGCTCAAGGGCAGCAGGGGGAAGGAAGGGGTCCGCGGAGGCGGGGAAGGGGGAGATATGAAGGCCTTCGCTGCCGCTGCTTTCCTGGAAACCTCCGCCTTGCGTGATTTGAGTTGACTCAAAAGCCACCTGGAAACCTCCGCCTTGCAACCAACCCTGATTGCCCTCCTGCTCACTCCTTCCCTCTCCACTGCTCTCCTGCTGCTCACACGCGCCGTCTGTCGGCCAATCCCCACACTCCTCCTGCTGATTCCCCTCCTCTAAACTCCCGTCCTCCGGACTGCTCTCCTCTTGACTCTTCTTCTCCCACTGCCCCCCTGCTTCCACACCCTCCTCTCGCATGCTCTGCTGCTCATTGCTCTCCTCCTTACCACTGCTCCCCATTCTCTCTCCCGCACCCATCTCTTCCCCACTCTCTGGGAACGAGACCAAGGGCTCTCTTGTGCAGATTGTGGGTGGTGACCTTGCTTCCCTCGCTTCCCTTGCTTCCTCCGCTGCTGTGCATTCTTGCTTCTCGCCCTCCCCCTCCTCTTCTCCACTCCCAGTGAGCCTCACCAGCAATCTCTCCTCCTCCTCCCTCTCCTCCTTCTCTTGCCTCTCCTCGGTCTCGTTCTTCCTCCTCTCCTCTCCCGTCCCCTCCTCCCTCTCTACCTCCCCTCTCTCCACTCTCTTCCCCTCCCCTCTCTCTCCCTTCCCCTCTTCCTCCCGCCCTCCCACTCTCCCTTCAGTCACTTCTTCTACAGTCACCTCCTCTCTCTCCCCCCCTCCCCACTCAAACTCACTCACAATCCCCCCCGCCTCCCCCTTCCCCCCACTGAGCCTGTATGCGCAAGAACGGGCGGCGGGAGAGGCGGAAGACAGCGCGGAAGAGGGAAGCTTCGAGCAAGGGGGGAAGGCGGAAGCGGGGAATGTGCGCGGAGGCTTGACGATACCGCTGCTGACGTGGCCGTGTCAGCGTCATTTGCGCCGTTACAATCGCCCCGACCACCAATGGCGCTGCCGCTGCCACTACTGCTGGTAATACCTGCGCCGAGTAATCCTGTCCCGTCGCTACCCCTGCTACAGCTGGCGCCGCTACAGCTGGAACCGTTAAAGCTGCCCAAGTTACCGTTACACGCGACAGGGGTGCCGGCCCCTCTGCTGCCCGTGCTGCTGCTGCCACAGTTGTAACCACAATGGTGGTTACCACACCGATTGCTACAGTGGTTACAGTGGTGGTAACCGTTGGCGGAAAAAGCGGCTCCGCGGGGATGCACCTTGCGGCTGCTGCTGCTGCTTCCGCCGTGCGCCAGCGACGCCGCGCCGAGAGAAAACGCGGGCTGCACGAGGAAATGCGCAGGAAATGCGGCGCGGGGGGGACGGGAGGGCGGAGGGGGGGGGGGGGGGGGGGGGGGTGAGGGTGAGGAGGGGAGGGAGAGGAATGGGGGGGCAGGCGAAACGGTAAAATTGGCGCAAATTAACGGACGCCGAGAGGAGCTTCGACAGTTTTGGGCTTGGAAGATAAATACTGCGTTACTGGGTGCAATTTTTCTCGCCTATGGCATTCGCGACAGCTTTCTTACACCCTGGGTGTCGAGCGCTATGGTAGCTGCGGCGGATCCGTCAAGACAATATACACTACGAAAGAAGAACTCCAATACTGTAGCAAATACGGGTGCGGGTTGAAGAGCCGTAAGCTTCTTCTAGAAGTCTTCACATCCAAGTTACCCCTAACTACTCAAACTCTAAAACACCTCGGTTGAAGGAGTGTAACCTTCTTAATATTGTGTGAAAAAAGTCTATTCTAAGACGACTCAAAAGTCGGTTGTAGAACTGTAACCTTCCTAACATTGTGCGATGCGAACGAACTCAGGTTTCATCGCTCACCTCGTGCGACGATTCAAAGACGGCAAATCGCGTGCTTAGGAAATTCGCTCGCAGGCGACCGACGAACGAACTTCCGCCGCGCGAAAAGTCTTTCGGATCCAGCGAGACCACGTACTCCATGCTGGAATGATTTCGAAAGTTGCGAAACAGAGCGAAACGGACACAATAGGGTGACCAGCACAAACACTTTTTCCATGCAAACGTGAATTTGCGAGACACAAACTCAGGTGTGCGATTTGAAGCGAACGAAGGCATTAGCGTAACCAGCACAAACAAGGGTTTGTTAAACGGGCAGAATAGGGCTACAAGCACAAACACCAACTCCGGTTTAGGGTCAAACGATTTTTTAAAGCAGTCGGCTATCCGCTTACCTTGACGGCCGCCAGCCGCACTTGCGCGCCGCGAGCAGGAACTTGCCGTTCTCCGTCGAATTCGGCGGCACGCCCAGAAACAGCGTGAACGTGCCGGTCTTGCGCGAGCGGCGAATGAAGCACTCCACGCAGCGGTCGCGGGTCCTTCTGTTCCCGCCCCCCCCGCTCCTCCCCCCCACCTCCTCCTCTATCTCCCTCATAGCTTCCATCAGTGGGGAATCATGCTGAAGCCTCGCCATGCCCTCCTTATAAGCACCTCTCCTTCTGTCACTCTCCTGCTCCTTCACGTGCTGCTGCTCCTGCTGCCCCTTCTTCCCCTTACCGCCCTTCTTGCCTTGCCCAGTTGCCTCATTTGAACTAGCACCACCAGCAGCAGCACCACCAGCAACAGCAGCACCACCAGTACCACTAGCACCATTGGTACTACTGTTAGCACTGCTTGGTTTAACAAACACGGGAGCTGCAATTGGGAGGTTCGGGCTTGGCATGAGCCGGGTTCGGCCCGAACCACCCGCTGCCGAACCTCCCCCACCCCCACCTTCCCCCTTTATAAGCACTTTTATCCCTGAAACCACTTCCCGCTTCATTGTTGGGATCTGGCCCCTCTCTCCTTGCTCCTTGTCTCCTTGGCCCCCCATCAGGAAGATACTGCCTACACCAGTTCTACCTCCCCCTCGCCTCCCACTCGCCCCCCCACTTGCAGCCTTTGTCTGCTTCTCAGAACCTTCCTGCCCTGGTTTGGCTCCCTCAGACCCTGCCACGACAGCTCCACCCCCTGCCACGTCAGCTCCAGGGCTATCCGCCACGAGAACCCGTCGACCAATCAGATCGAGCGGAGGAAAACTGGATTCTAGCGAAGCTCGTAGAAAACTGGATTCTAGTGAAGCTCGTAGAAATGGCTATGTCACAGCAACGAAGTAGAAGCACAGTGTTGGTCGCGAAACGCCTCACGGGAGGCTTACGCGGCCTTAACGGGGCCTCGACGAGGCCTTTACTCAACCCTGACGCGATCCTGAGGCGATTTCTGCTTCGCGTGGTCTTCACTGATCCTTCACGGGGCTTTCGCGGGCCCTACACTCGAGTGAAACAGGTTCGGCCCTTCGCAGGGCTTTGACGGGAGTCTCGCGGCTGAAATTTCCGTCACTAATGCTTGTCTAAGCCTTCACAAAGGCTTCTCCGTAGGTTTGACGCGAATCTGACGGGAGTCTCATCAAATGCTCAAAGTTTCGACCAATCAGGATTGAACACAATGTTTGAAGCGATAGAATTTCAAAGTGTTACTTCAACAACCTGGTACAACAAATATATAGGTTCAAGCAAGGTACAAAATGGGCTAGGTAACAAAACGTGTCCAACACGTTACGTGGCGCCTCGTTTCACCCCGCGTCGCACACGCAACCTTTCTCCACCTTCGTCGAACGCGCCTGAAGTCCGCATTTGGTTCCTTGCTGAACACGCCACAGTTGACCCACACAATTTCCCCCCGTCGATCACTTTCTCCTCACTTCCTCCTCGTCAATGTCTTCCTTCCATACTTCTCTTGCCGTAGCTCATACTCCCAAGCAATGTCGTAGTTTCCTCTCTAGTTCCCAAGGCACTGTCAACACGCCACCGTCAGTCCGTCTTAGTCGTCGGTCCGAATAATGAGCGCCGTCGTTAGTGTGGTTCTGCGAACCACTCCAACACACACGACTGCTCGTCCCATTTATTAGTCGGTCAGATTTGAATCAGCGTCCCGATATACCCTAACCAACCAGCCTAGGTATCAAATTGACCGTTGTAGAACCAGCTGAACCGACAATTGTCCAAGCTTTAGGAGGAATCTGGTAACCGGTTGTACCCGATACGGGCAGATGCACTTCAGCTACAGAGGTACCGTGAACTTCTACTCTGATACAAACATAAGCCACAATTTCGTTACAATACAAAGAGTACAGGAATAACAAACAAGGGCACCAGCATGACTACATCCCTGAATCAGTCATCACCATCCGTCCCTAAACACAATTGTCCAAACCTTAATAACCAACCCATATCCGAGGTACACAAAAGACAATCCCGTTCCTCCAGAGGAAACTTACCAGTACCTTTTCATCCGCAGCATTGCACCACAAAGCAGAAAAAATACACCACCACCACCACCCGCTGTATCAGCACAACGCACATGCCCTTTTCCAGTCTCCCAGATATCATCACGCTGTCTTTTTTTCATTTGTTGCCCTTGGTTGTTCCTGAGTGAGGAATCCTCTTCACGCATCATCAGTACCACACCACACCACACCATATCTAGAACGCAACGCGAAAAGCCGTCGGTGTCACTATTTCGCTCGCACGTGGATTTTGGACTCGACAAAACAACAGCTTGAAAAGCTTTCAACTGATGATGGAAGTGATGATGGAATCACTCGCACGCCACTTTGGTATCGAAACTGCTCAGGCAAATGGCAAACGCCTGCACGCATAATGTAGGGAAAACACACATGACGTGGGAACACATACAAAGCAGAAAACAATCCGTCAGACATGTGATATGAAGCAAGGAAAGCACATGTGACATGTGACATGTGGGCACGCACAAAGAAAACAGCCCAGAAGGCAAGGGGAAGAGAACACGGGGAGACGGGAGATGGGGAAAGCGTATTGACACGATACCCAAAGACAAACCTGAGGAAACACCTGGCCGTCCACACTTACCTGGAAGGCCGTGAGTGGATATCTGTAGTCCATGGTGAATGTGTCCTTGCCAATCTTCCCAACTGCAGCAACACCGGCTTGCATGCGTATCAATACCTGAAAGGAAACTCACCCTGAACACGCAGCACTACCCACCTGGAAGGCCGTGAGCGGGTATCTGTAGTCCATGGTGAATGTGTCCTTGCCGATCTTGCCAAACTGCAGCAGCAGCACTGGCAGAGCACCGATTTTTAACCACATGAAACAGCACTTCACTACCCACCTGGAGTCAGTAAGCGGGTATCTGTTATCCATGGTGAAAGTGTCCTTGCCAATCTTCCCACACTGCAGCAGCACTGGCTTATCAGAGTCGTTCCCCGGTCCGCTCCTCTCTATGAGCTACCCTCAGCCAAACAGAGCAGCACGCACTTGGCACATGCACTACGCACCTGGAAGGCCGTAAGCGGGTATCTGTAGTCCATGGTAAAGGTGTCCTTTCCGATCTTGCCAAACTGCAGCAGCAGCACCGGCAGGGCTCCGAACCATACACACTAGCATTCAAAGAAGAAGCACCCACCTGGAAGGCAGTAAGCGGGTATCTGTAGTCCATGGTGAACGTGTCCTTGCCAATCTTCCCAAACTGCAGCAACACCTTCAGGGCACCGCACCATACACACCAGCACTTGTGCTAGAATAACACACCTGGAAGGCCGTGAGTGGATATCTGTAGTCCATAGTAAAAGCGTCCTTGTCAATCTTCCCGAACTGCAGCAGCACCGGCTTGTCCGAGTCGTTCCCCGGCCCGCCCCCCTCTATCAGCTGAAAATTCTTCACTGATGCTACTGTCACGCGGCCACGGAAGTTGAGGCACCAACACTGCAAGGGAGTACGGGAAAGGGGAGGCGGGTAGGGGGTGGGAAAGGGGGGAGCAGCACCGGCTTGTCAGAGTCGTTCCCCGGCCCGCCCCCCTCGATCAGCTGGAAGTTCTTCACTGAAGCCACTGTCACTCGCCCCCTGAAGTTCAAGCACCAGCACTGGCAGTGTGGGAGGGGGAGGGCAGGCAAGGGGAGGCAAGGGCGGGATGAGAAGGGGGCTTGTCCGAGTCGTTCCCCGCCCCCCCCCCCCCTCTATCAGCTGGAAATTCTTCACAGAAGCACCCCCTGTCACTCGCCCCCTGAAGTTGAGGCACCAGCACTGGAAGCGTGTATGGGATGGACAGGAAAAGGGGATGCAAGGGAGGATTGGAAGGGCCTTATTTGAGATGCTCCCCGGCCCACCCTCCTCTATCAGCTGGAAGTTGTTCACCGAAGCAACCGTTACTCGCCCTCTGAAGTTGAGGCACCAGCACTGGAAGGCGAGGAGGGGAGGCGAGGGGAGGGGAGGGAGCGCTCGGCCCAATGTTTCATGATAGATTTCGCTTTCTAATCTGTAATTGCCTTCCTCAATACACACACACCTGCAGCTGCGCGTGCCACCGGGGAGGCTTGTTCCTCGATACCACAGTCTCTAGGGGCGCTCGGCCCATGATAAAAAGCTTTATATTGCCCTATACTCCCATATACTCCCTTATACTCCTTTGCACTCCTCCATATCCCCTTGTATCCCCTCACCTGCAGCTGCTCGTGCCATCTGCGAGACTTGTTCCGCAACGCCATGGGCTCCAGAGGCGCTCGGCCTCATACTCCCTTGAACTACCCTGTACTCCCGTGCACCGCTTCCCACCCCCCAGCACCCACACACATACCTGCAGCTGCTCGTGCCATCTGGGAGGCTTGTTCCGCAACACCATGGGCTCTAAGGGCGCTCGGCTTCATCTATTTCCATACGAACACCGCTTAATACTCCCCTGTACTGCTGTGCACCGCTCCTCATTCCCCAATAAACACACATACCTGCAGCTGCTCGTGCCATCTGGGTGGCTTGTTCCGCAACACCATGGGCTCTAGAGGCGCTCGGCCGATGCACCGCACACAGTCACACTCCGTACAGTCACCCTCAGTGTCACCCTCCGCATCTGCCTCTGCATTGAAAGCAGGAGGCGCAGCAGCAGGGGAAGGAGCAGCAGAAGCAGAAGGAGCAGCAGGAAGGGCGGCAGGAGACGGGGCAGACGAAGCAGCAAATGGGGGAGTCGCAGCTGCAGCAGGGAGAGAGGAAGGGGTGAATGGGGGAGTCAAGGGACCCGAGGGGAGAGAGGAGGAGGCGAACGGGGGAGTGACAGCCGCCGCAGCTCTGGCACCTGCTGCTGCTGCTTCTGGTGAAGCCACAGCTCTTGCTGCTGCTGCTTCTGGTGAAGCCACAGCTCTTGCTGCTGCTGCTTCTGACCATGCCGTTCCGCTTGCTGTTGCTGCTGATGCTGCTGCTGCTGCTGCTGCTGTTAGTGCCGCTTCTAGTTCCAATGTGGGCAAGGGCAGGGGCAGGGGCAGGGGCAGGGGCAGGGGCAGGGGCAGGGCAGGGCAGGGGCAAGGGCAGGGCGGCAGGGGGAAGCTCAAGGGCAGCAGGGGGAAGGAAGGGGTCCGCGGAGGCGGGGAAGGGGGAGATATGAAGGCCTTCGCTGCCGCTGCTTTCCTGGAAACCTCCGCCTTGCGTGATTTGAGTTGACTCAAAAGCCACCTGGAAACCTCCGCCTTGCAACCAACCCTGATTGCCCTCCTGCTCACTCCTTCCCTCTCCACTGCTCTCCTGCTGCTCACACGCGCCGTCTGTCGGCCAATCCCCACACTCCTCCTGCTGATTCCCCTCCTCTAAACTCCCGTCCTCCGGACTGCTCTCCTCTTGACTCTTCTTCTCCCACTGCCCCCCTGCTTCCACACCCTCCTCTCGCATGCTCTGCTGCTCATTGCTCTCCTCCTTACCACTGCTCCCCATTCTCTCTCCCGCACCCATCTCTTCCCCACTCTCTGGGAACGAGACCAAGGGCTCTCTTGTGCAGATTGTGGGTGGTGACCTTGCTTCCCTCGCTTCCCTTGCTTCCTCCGCTGCTGTGCATTCTTGCTTCTCGCCCTCCCCCTCCTCTTCTCCACTCCCAGTGAGCCTCACCAGCAATCTCTCCTCCTCCTCCCTCTCCTCCTTCTCTTGCCTCTCCTCGGTCTCGTTCTTCCTCCTCTCCTCTCCCGTCCCCTCCTCCCTCTCTACCTCCCCTCTCTCCACTCTCTTCCCCTCCCCTCTCTCTCCCTTCCCCTCTTCCTCCCGCCCTCCCACTCTCCCTTCAGTCACTTCTTCTACAGTCACCTCCTCTCTCTCCCCCCCTCCCCACTCAAACTCACTCACAATCCCCCCCGCCTCCCCCTTCCCCCCACTGAGCCTGTATGCGCAAGAACGGGCGGCGGGAGAGGCGGAAGACAGCGCGGAAGAGGGAAGCTTCGAGCAAGGGGGGAAGGCGGAAGCGGGGAATGTGCGCGGAGGCTTGACGATACCGCTGCTGACGTGGCCGTGTCAGCGTCATTTGCGCCGTTACAATCGCCCCGACCACCAATGGCGCTGCCGCTGCCACTACTGCTGGTAATACCTGCGCCGAGTAATCCTGTCCCGTCGCTACCCCTGCTACAGCTGGCGCCGCTACAGCTGGAACCGTTAAAGCTGCCCAAGTTACCGTTACACGCGACAGGGGTGCCGGCCCCTCTGCTGCCCGTGCTGCTGCTGCCACAGTTGTAACCACAATGGTGGTTACCACACCGATTGCTACAGTGGTTACAGTGGTGGTAACCGTTGGCGGAAAAAGCGGCTCCGCGGGGATGCACCTTGCGGCTGCTGCTGCTGCTTCCGCCGTGCGCCAGCGACGCCGCGCCGAGAGAAAACGCGGGCTGCACGAGGAAATGCGCAGGAAATGCGGCGCGGGGGGGACGGGAGGGCGGAGGGGGGGGGGGGGGGGGGGGGTGAGGGTGAGGAGGGGAGGGAGAGGAATGGGGGGGCAGGCGAAACGGTAAAATTGGCGCAAATTAACGGACGCCGAGAGGAGCTTCGACAGTTTTGGGCTTGGAAGATAAATACTGCGTTACTGGGTGCAATTTTTCTCGCCTATGGCATTCGCGACAGCTTTCTTACACCCTGGGTGTCGAGCGCTATGGTAGCTGCGGCGGATCCGTCAAGACAATATACACTACGAAAGAAGAACTCCAATACTGTAGCAAATACGGGTGCGGGTTGAAGAGCCGTAAGCTTCTTCTAGAAGTCTTCACATCCAAGTTACCCCTAACTACTCAAACTCTAAAACACCTCGGTTGAAGGAGTGTAACCTTCTTAATATTGTGTGAAAAAAGTCTATTCTAAGACGACTCAAAAGTCGGTTGTAGAACTGTAACCTTCCTAACATTGTGCGATGCGAACGAACTCAGGTTTCATCGCTCACCTCGTGCGACGATTCAAAGACGGCAAATCGCGTGCTTAGGAAATTCGCTCGCAGGCGACCGACGAACGAACTTCCGCCGCGCGAAAAGTCTTTCGGATCCAGCGAGACCACGTACTCCATGCTGGAATGATTTCGAAAGTTGCGAAACAGAGCGAAACGGACACAATAGGGTGACCAGCACAAACACTTTTTCCATGCAAACGTGAATTTGCGAGACACAAACTCAGGTGTGCGATTTGAAGCGAACGAAGGCATTAGCGTAACCAGCACAAACAAGGGTTTGTTAAACGGGCAGAATAGGGCTACAAGCACAAACACCAACTCCGGTTTAGGGTCAAACGATTTTTTAAAGCAGTCGGCTATCCGCTTACCTTGACGGCCGCCAGCCGCACTTGCGCGCCGCGAGCAGGAACTTGCCGTTCTCCGTCGAATTCGGCGGCACGCCCAGAAACAGCGTGAACGTGCCGGTCTTGCGCGAGCGGCGAATGAAGCACTCCACGCAGCGGTCGCGGGTCCTTCTGTTCCCGCCCCCCCCCGCTCCTCCCCCCCACCTCCTCCTCTATCTCCCTCATAGCTTCCATCAGTGGGGAATCATGCTGAAGCCTCGCCATGCCCTCCTTATAAGCACCTCTCCTTCTGTCACTCTCCTGCTCCTTCACGTGCTGCTGCTCCTGCTGCCCCTTCTTCCCCTTACCGCCCTTCTTGCCTTGCCCAGTTGCCTCATTTGAACTAGCACCACCAGCAGCAGCACCACCAGCAACAGCAGCACCACCAGTACCACTAGCACCATTGGTACTACTGTTAGCACTGCTTGGTTTAACAAACACGGGAGCTGCAATTGGGAGGTTCGGGCTTGGCATGAGCCGGGTTCGGCCCGAACCACCCGCTGCCGAACCTCCCCCACCCCCACCTTCCCCCTTTATAAGCACTTTTATCCCTGAAACCACTTCCCGCTTCATTGTTGGGATCTGGCCCCTCTCTCCTTGCTCCTTGTCTCCTTGGCCCCCCATCAGGAAGATACTGCCTACACCAGTTCTACCTCCCCCTCGCCTCCCACTCGCCCCCCCACTTGCAGCCTTTGTCTGCTTCTCAGAACCTTCCTGCCCTGGTTTGGCTCCCTCAGACCCTGCCACGACAGCTCCACCCCCTGCCACGTCAGCTCCAGGGCTATCCGCCACGAGAACCCGTCGACCAATCAGATCGAGCGGAGGAAAACTGGATTCTAGCGAAGCTCGTAGAAAACTGGATTCTAGTGAAGCTCGTAGAAATGGCTATGTCACAGCAACGAAGTAGAAGCACAGTGTTGGTCGCGAAACGCCTCACGGGAGGCTTACGCGGCCTTAACGGGGCCTCGACGAGGCCTTTACTCAACCCTGACGCGATCCTGAGGCGATTTCTGCTTCGCGTGGTCTTCACTGATCCTTCACGGGGCTTTCGCGGGCCCTACACTCGAGTGAAACAGGTTCGGCCCTTCGCAGGGCTTTGACGGGAGTCTCGCGGCTGAAATTTCCGTCACTAATGCTTGTCTAAGCCTTCACAAAGGCTTCTCCGTAGGTTTGACGCGAATCTGACGGGAGTCTCATCAAATGCTCAAAGTTTCGACCAATCAGGATTGAACACAATGTTTGAAGCGATAGAATTTCAAAGTGTTACTTCAACAACCTGGTACAACAAATATATAGGTTCAAGCAAGGTACAAAATGGGCTAGGTAACAAAACGTGTCCAACACGTTACGTGGCGCCTCGTTTCACCCCGCGTCGCACACGCAACCTTTCTCCACCTTCGTCGAACGCGCCTGAAGTCCGCATTTGGTTCCTTGCTGAACACGCCACAGTTGACCCACACAATTTCCCCCCGTCGATCACTTTCTCCTCACTTCCTCCTCGTCAATGTCTTCCTTCCATACTTCTCTTGCCGTAGCTCATACTCCCAAGCAATGTCGTAGTTTCCTCTCTAGTTCCCAAGGCACTGTCAACACGCCACCGTCAGTCCGTCTTAGTCGTCGGTCCGAATAATGAGCGCCGTCGTTAGTGTGGTTCTGCGAACCACTCCAACACACACGACTGCTCGTCCCATTTATTAGTCGGTCAGATTTGAATCAGCGTCCCGATATACCCTAACCAACCAGCCTAGGTATCAAATTGACCGTTGTAGAACCAGCTGAACCGACAATTGTCCAAGCTTTAGGAGGAATCTGGTAACCGGTTGTACCCGATACGGGCAGATGCACTTCAGCTACAGAGGTACCGTGAACTTCTACTCTGATACAAACATAAGCCACAATTTCGTTACAATACAAAGAGTACAGGAATAACAAACAAGGGCACCAGCATGACTACATCCCTGAATCAGTCATCACCATCCGTCCCTAAACACAATTGTCCAAACCTTAATAACCAACCCATATCCGAGGTACACAAAAGACAATCCCGTTCCTCCAGAGGAAACTTACCAGTACCTTTTCATCCGCAGCATTGCACCACAAAGCAGAAAAAATACACCACCACCACCACCCGCTGTATCAGCACAACGCACATGCCCTTTTCCAGTCTCCCAGATATCATCACGCTGTCTTTTTTTCATTTGTTGCCCTTGGTTGTTCCTGAGTGAGGAATCCTCTTCACGCATCATCAGTACCACACCACACCACACCATATCTAGAACGCAACGCGAAAAGCCGTCGGTGTCACTATTTCGCTCGCACGTGGATTTTGGACTCGACAAAACAACAGCTTGAAAAGCTTTCAACTGATGATGGAAGTGATGATGGAATCACTCGCACGCCACTTTGGTATCGAAACTGCTCAGGCAAATGGCAAACGCCTGCACGCATAATGTAGGGAAAACACACATGACGTGGGAACACATACAAAGCAGAAAACAATCCGTCAGACATGTGATATGAAGCAAGGAAAGCACATGTGACATGTGACATGTGGGCACGCACAAAGAAAACAGCCCAGAAGGCAAGGGGAAGAGAACACGGGGAGACGGGAGATGGGGAAAGCGTATTGACACGATACCCAAAGACAAACCTGAGGAAACACCTGGCCGTCCACACTTACCTGGAAGGCCGTGAGTGGATATCTGTAGTCCATGGTGAATGTGTCCTTGCCAATCTTCCCAACTGCAGCAACACCGGCTTGCATGCGTATCAATACCTGAAAGGAAACTCACCCTGAACACGCAGCACTACCCACCTGGAAGGCCGTGAGCGGGTATCTGTAGTCCATGGTGAATGTGTCCTTGCCGATCTTGCCAAACTGCAGCAGCAGCACTGGCAGAGCACCGATTTTTAACCACATGAAACAGCACTTCACTACCCACCTGGAGTCAGTAAGCGGGTATCTGTTATCCATGGTGAAAGTGTCCTTGCCAATCTTCCCACACTGCAGCAGCACTGGCTTATCAGAGTCGTTCCCCGGTCCGCTCCTCTCTATGAGCTACCCTCAGCCAAACAGAGCAGCACGCACTTGGCACATGCACTACGCACCTGGAAGGCCGTAAGCGGGTATCTGTAGTCCATGGTAAAGGTGTCCTTTCCGATCTTGCCAAACTGCAGCAGCAGCACCGGCAGGGCTCCGAACCATACACACTAGCATTCAAAGAAGAAGCACCCACCTGGAAGGCAGTAAGCGGGTATCTGTAGTCCATGGTGAACGTGTCCTTGCCAATCTTCCCAAACTGCAGCAACACCTTCAGGGCACCGCACCATACACACCAGCACTTGTGCTAGAATAACACACCTGGAAGGCCGTGAGTGGATATCTGTAGTCCATAGTAAAAGCGTCCTTGTCAATCTTCCCGAACTGCAGCAGCACCGGCTTGTCCGAGTCGTTCCCCGGCCCGCCCCCCTCTATCAGCTGAAAATTCTTCACTGATGCTACTGTCACGCGGCCACGGAAGTTGAGGCACCAACACTGCAAGGGAGTACGGGAAAGGGGAGGCGGGTAGGGGGTGGGAAAGGGGGGAGCAGCACCGGCTTGTCAGAGTCGTTCCCCGGCCCGCCCCCCTCGATCAGCTGGAAGTTCTTCACTGAAGCCACTGTCACTCGCCCCCTGAAGTTCAAGCACCAGCACTGGCAGTGTGGGAGGGG